AAACAACCACATTTTATTTCATTAATTTTAATTGTTCCTGAAAAAAAAGTCATGTGAAATCCTAGTAGGTCTACCTTTATTCATTTATTTTTTATTTTTTTTAAACAAATTGATAGCAAAGTGCAGGTTCTTTTGCAAACTACAGTTAGCGCAAACATATATTCAAACACATATTGATAGTGGTTGCTAGATGAATGGAAATAACATACAACATAATTACCCAGTTTGAGTGAATATATAATTTTCCTCCCATTAAGATGATTAAGATTAACAAACAGGCAGGGTGGATTCATTTTTGCTAGCCTGCCTTGACATTAATAGCCCCGGGACATCAGGCTAGCAGTTCGGAACACACCTAGCCATCTGACCAATCAGAACAGAGTAGAATGTCTATCATGCAGGGGCTTAGAAAGACCAGATCCTTGATCAAACCATTAACGACACTGAATAAGAGGTGGTGCTGCAATGCATTGCATATTATGAGAAACTATTTGATTGTTGTAAACTTACAGTAAAAGACCTTCTTACCTAATCTGAGAAACTTTGAAATTTAGTAATATAGGGAACTTTTATTATAATGGGTTAAAAAAAATTACTGAATATGTAGCAGGTCAATATGTTAACACGATAAGGAGCCTGTGACAGATAGACATCTTCATTTTGTAGTTGAGATGTCACAATCATGAGTCCAATATTATAAGCAAAGAGTCCCTGAACATTTTAACTGTAGAATTACAGCCGTTTGTTTGGTAAATACATCACTGCAGTGTGTAATGCAGGCTTGGTAAATGCTCTGTTTTAATCCTGTGATTGCTATACCAACTTTTGGGACAAAAAACCACAACACTTCCGCAAACAGGATAACCAGTCAAAATGGAGGTCACCTATGTTGAAATCATAATTATATGCATGAAAACTGGAGGTTTAATTCTAAGAGTCTTTGAGAGAGATGTTTTTAAAGTTATTATTTGTTATTTGTTTTTTGATTAACTTAAGGTACACTAATGTTCAAAGGTTTGCAAGACTGGGTTTGAGATTACATTTATATATACAGTATTTATCAATGATGCATTAAACTTAGCACGGTAAGTCACAGTAAACACATTTATAATGTTACAAATGATTCAAACATTGATGATAACTGTGTCAAATGTATTTTAAGCACCATGTCATCATTTTAGATGTGACTCTGAACTAAAGACTGAACGCCATAACAGCAATACTTTTTTTATTCAACTAAAAATATGTTGTTTTACAGTATTTCAATCAAAACCAAACTAACTTAAAAAGCACAAGAGACTTAAAAAAATAAAATATTTAAATGGTAAACTTACAAAAAGTATGACATTTTAAATATTATAAATATATTTAAGTGAAATTAGTTATATTAAATATAGATATTTGTGAAGAGATGTTTTTTATTGTATGCATTTAACGTTTAGACTACTAAAGTTACCTACAGTTCACCTAAGGTGCTTCTTAGTGAGCATATCTATATTTAGAGCAAACGTGGGCGCAACTGCACGGATGACTTATTCTTCTTGTTACTTTGTCATTAAGCTATCATGGGACTCGAAGTCATCGCACTGGATTCATCAGCAAATCTCACTCCAAAAACAGTTGAATAACTTTGTTTTCTCTCATTCAAGAACCTCTTGATATTCCAACTGGAGTGCTGTTTTTCTGAAGTGTTGGCACAGTAGTAACATGAAATCACACCACTGAAGAGCACCAACTTGTAAAGCATATTCATGCAAGCCACCCAACATCAATTTATGAGTGCAATATAATTCAACATTACAGTAGTGATACTCAATACAGCATATCTATTGACACGGTAGCTGAGCCAGATCATTCGTAGCCATGGTAAAGGGCTTAGATAAAAATAATTCATTCTTCATTGGTTGCTATGGAAAATAATACTGATGAGCCTGGGATAATTAAACTGATCATGGTAATCACCAACTCATAAGAGCTTAAATAAACAGTCCTGGAGTTTAGGAAAAGGAAACACTGAATGCAGATTGTACTTTATAAATCAAAAACATTCAGTTGAGCTAAAATGTAGAGTGCGAAAGGGAGTTTGTGGAGTGATGATATAGAACCATTTTAGGTTTCCCAAAAACATTTGAATGATCAGCTTTTAAAAAACACTCTTTTCCCAGGATAAAGAACATTATATTTATCTAAAGAACTACTTTTCCATCGATAAAGATCGTTTTTATTATTTCTATGGATGGTAAAAGTTGTTTATGGAACTATTAAGGTGTGACAAACATCTGCTCAAAGACCTGCTAAGATCAATAAAAGCTCTAGAACAAAAGACCATTGCGGTAAAACAATAATATAGTATAAATATACGCCCTAAAACTATTCCTGGAAATCTGCCATTGTTCACGAAGCATGGAGCTTATTAATACATGCACTTCAGCATATGATGCAGCAGTCATATAATATTGATTTAAATGATTTCATAATGATATATATATATATATATATATATATATATATATATATATATATATATATATATAAAACATATGATATAGGGGCTACACGGTGGCTCAGTCACCTCACATCAGGAAGGTTGTTTGTTCGAGTCCCTACTGGACCAGTTGATATTTTTGAGTGGAGTTTGCATGTTCTCCATGTGTTCCCATCCTCCTGGTGCTCCGGTTTCCCCCACAGTCCAAACACTGTGAATAAACTAAATTGCCCTTAGTGTATGAGTGTGTGTGTGAATGAGGGAGTGTGTGGGTGTTTCCCAGAACTGGGTTGTGACTGGAAGGGCATCAACTGCATAAATCAAATAGTTGGTGGTTCATTCTGCGGTGGTGACCTCTCATAATTCAAAGACTAGGGAAGGAAAGCAGAGACTAAGGAAGTAAGCCGAAAGAAAATGAACGACTATGGATGAACATATGATATAGGCAATGTATTTGGTTCATTTAAACAAAACAGATTTATTAAACAGATATATTTATTAAAATTATATTTTAGTCACCAAACATATTTAGAAATTGAAAGATAATATAATTAAATTCTAACTAAATATTGCAAAAATAAATAACAACCTACAACATTTCAACTAAACTTTTTTTTCCTTCTCTTTTTTAAAATTTTGTATTTAATATTTTTCTATAACATAAATTTGGGTGTGCTAGTTTTTGGACCATTATCACAAGTTATTTTGTTAAATGAGCTCCAGATTTGGCTTCAGTACTGACTTATCTAATGTATATGCACAAATATAATATTGTATAGCTTCCTATTAAAATATGAATTTAAAAGAGAGATTTCTGTGTGAGGGGTGTACCTATATATGCTGAGCACTGTACAACACATGATATTTATTAGCCATGTTTTAAATAGTTTTACCTCTCCACCTTCTCATCAAAAGCATGGTGCATAAAGGTTTCATCTGATACTAACATGACCTGCTGGTTGCAAATATCAGCTTATTGCTTATAATAACATCTTAGGTATTTGCAATTAAAAAGTTGATAATAAAAGGTAATGTGTAGGTAGTGGTGATCTCAGATGCAGTCATCATGTTGCTGAAGGGCAGAGATGAGAGGTAAACATGAGTGGGGAAAAATAAGTGTGTGGTAAGAGTGTGGAGATGTGGTTACAAACAGGGTATGTTAATTAGGGCTGCACGATTTAGGAAAAATCTAACATTGTGTGATTTATTTATTCTGTAATAGATATTGCTATATAAATACAATTTTACCAGATGACTTGCATAACTACTTGGAAATAATTTATAATTAAAGATTGATAATTCTGGATGAGTGCATTTGCATAAAATATACCAAACAATGTACAAGCATAAATAATAAAAAAAAATTATAAATTAAATAAACACTGCTTTATTCTTTTCTCTCTAACTGTATACAGTATTTAAATAATGTATAATAATACTGCATAGTCAATAAAAATAATTGTTATACATTTTATGAAGTTACAAATGGAACAGTTTATGTCTGAATGCTTTTAAAATCCTCATACTGTCACAGGCCTTAAAAAACACTTGCAAAACGATCATTTATAATGCAGACTCAACATTGCATATTCTGCGTTTTGTCTATTGCGAATGCTCATGTTTTGATATCGGTACTGAAATGATATATTGTGCAGCATAATGTTGATTATAAGAAAAAAAATATGGTAGACCTCTTTAAACATTAGTAAAACATATAATACTGTATCACATACAGTACATGATTGCAGTTTGTTGGAAATAATTTTTAAATGTGCAATATTGTGTAGACTGACATTACGTTTTCAACACAGCAACAAGTTTTCAAAAGGCATGTAAGCTATAAAGAAAATAGATAGCTTCATATTCATGATTATTCATATGTCCTTACTGTACTTTAATAAAGCTGAATGTCACATTAGTTTAAATTAAAATGTTAAAATATTTAATTTAATAAATTACAATAACAACAAACACTGACTTAATTAAAATATAATTTTTACTTTATATTGTGAATTATTACAATACAACAGGATTAAATCCTATTCTGAAAACGTGTTTTAGTTTTTAAAGTGAATTATAATGAACATTAAAGTGCTGCAGGTAGAATCAACCGAACCACAACCGCCTCCAAAAAGAAACCAAAACAAATGTTGCCTCATAGTAAACATTTAAACAAACTATACCATCATTTTGCATGAGTCCTTGAATAAAATGATGCATTTATAGCACAATCTTTCCCAAAAACAGGTCAAAAACAACCAAAGAACACACCAAAACTTCACACTAATAACTCAATTCATAACATATATCATGTAGGCTAAATCAATTCACACATCATCCAAAGTACACAGTCAAAGAAAACAAATGTATTGATTCATTTATTTGACATTTCACATTATTAGAGTAGAAAACAAGTTAATGGCTGTGACTGCGTTTACTTTATGTGTGGTTAAAAAAAAAAGTACTTCAAGTAACTTTTAAAAACACACTTGTCCTGAAGTAAGACAAAACTCACCAAGCCTCCGCAGCGGATCGTGAGTTTTCGACTCCACCGATTTGGACTCAGTCTGAACGGTCTCGGGATTCTTCTTTCTCCCCAGCATGTTGAATAATCCCCTGGTTCCAGGCAGTACGGCTTAAAACCGTCTTGAACCGAGAATTAAACGTGAAGAAGTCCAGAAGTATCGCTGCAGTGTGTCTGTCTGTCAGTCGGTCGGTCAGTGTATGTGAATCTGTGCACGGCTGCTAGTGTGACGCCTGTCGCAACACTTGACGTTTCTAAACACGCAGTGCGAGAAACTTGAGTAGATATTCATTCCTCTGCAGCTGAGCAGTCATTCACCCGCTCTCTGACACTTTCACCATATCACAGCCTCAGCAAACTATCTGAATACAGAAGCAGATGGTGTAATTGTGTGGTTAGTTTTATTTTTAGGCTGTATAATCTAGCTCTCCGTCGATGATCGGGTGTCACAAAATATAGAAACTGTTGCGATAAAAAAGTTTAAATGCAGGACATGAACTTGTCACAGGCTTGTGACTTGTTTGGACTCCGCCTGTTGGGTTTATTCATGAAGGTGTTACGAGTTTTTTGGTTTCTGAGATTTTCGGTGTCAGTGGGCGGATATGAATATTCAAGTTTCACGGACATGCGCGTGGTAATGAGAATTTTAGTTCACTCCTTCAATCTCATCAGACATATATTCCTATGGAATAATAATAATAATAATTATATATATATATATATATATATATATATATATATACGTATTACGTTAGTAAGTATTCTTATATGTGGATGCAAATTTTGTCATTATTTACTCATTCTCCACTTAATTCCAAGGTGCTTGAGTTTCTTTCATTATCTTGAACAAAAAGGTAGAAATATTAAAGAATGTTAGACATTAATGTTAGAATGTTAGAGACATAATGATAGTGAATATTCCATATTCTATAACATATTTTTTGGTCTTGTGTTCAAATTCAGAATTTTTGGTTTGAAATTTTTCAGTTCTTTGCTAAAGTTTACATTTGTGTTTTACTTCCTGACCCAATGATAGCAATTTTTGGCTGGTAAGATTTTCTCTTGTTTTATGCTTTATTTTACATTTTGCACAGATTAGTGTTTCATGATGAGTTTGTGTGTGAATAAGTGTGTATTGGTATTTCCCAGCTTTGGGTTGCGGCTTGAAGGGCATCCGCTGCGTAAAACATATGCTGGATAAGTTGGCAGTTCATTCCGCTGTGGCAACCCCAACTTTGTTGTAGTTTTTCTTTAACAAAATTAAGAACCAAACAAACAAATCCTAATCTTGCACTTTTGAATGGTAAAATTAAGAGATATCAAGAACCAGAATCAAGATTGTAAGTCTCATACTTCTTTACAAGAATTTTCATGTAATTTTTTACAGCAAACTCAATAAAGATTCTACTCAAAAAGTGTCTTTACTGATTCTACTCAAAATTCAAAGAATTTATTTGACTTATTCTACATTCTGACTTTAATTTACAAACATAAAAACAAAATGTTACTACATGGTTCTGAATGTCCACACCAACTCATAAATACCAAAAAAGAAGGTATTTCAAGTCAAAGTGTCTTTAACTGAGGCCCAATTATGAACATCCATGTTTATGAAACTTTGTGACATGAACATGTAAGCTACAAGAACAAAATATTGTGTTTACAGATGAAATGCCATCATTGTGCACACATAGTAAAAGTACTAAAAGATTAGTAAAAACTATTAAAAGACTTGAAAATGTTCATTTATTCATTTTCTTGTCGGCTTAGTCCCTTTATTAATACGGGGTCGCCACAGCGGAATGAACCGCCAACTCATCTAGCAAGTTTTTACGCAGCGGATGCCCTTCCAGCCACAACCCATCTCTGGGAAACATCTACACACACTCATTCACTACAGGCAATTTAGCCTACCCAATTCACCTGTACCGCATGACTGTGGGGGAAACATGAGCACCCGGAGGAAACCCACTAGAAGGCAGGGAGAACATGCAAACTCCACACAGAAACACCAACTGAGTCGAGGTTCGAACCAGCGACCTTCTTGCTGTGAGGCGACAGCACTACCTACTGCGCCACTGCCTCACCCTTGAAATTTTTAAATAATAATAATAATAATAATAATAACAACAACAACATTAATAATTTAATATAGCGCATTTAAAACTTAATTCTCAAAGCGCTTTACACAAAAAAGGTACAGATATAAAACAGTTTAGAATAACAGTAAAACTGAATCATTCAAGATAAAACATTTAAAATAGATAAAACATTCAAATTTTGAAACATAAAGCAAACCAAGAATGCACGCCTCATGAATAGGCGAGTGTCAAGTAGTGAGTTTTCAAGGATGATTTAAACTATTTAAAAGATACAGCATGTCTAATTTCATACACTCTCAGAAAAAAGGTACACTGTGGAACAAATAATGTTCCTTGAGTAACAGTTTTGTAAGGTTGTACCTTATATGGTACAGAAAAGACCTCTTATGATTATGTTCTGTACACAACTGTTCTCACAAAAAGGTTAAAAAAAGTGTTGAACAACCTCTTTTATTACAATATCTATGAAAATAAATATTACTGTAAAGGCAAGGTGATTTTATGAATAATTTCCATATGAAAACATGAATCATCATTTAAAAGCATATATGCTTAAAGAAACTCATAAACATTCATTATTAACTTCTATAATACAAGACAACTGGTAAAACAAAACTAAAGGTGTTGTGAACTAAACATTTAAGGCATTTTTAATAAACATTTGTTAAGCATTTTCTGATAAATACAGGTTCATTATTGATATCCGCACCTTTTGGCGTTTGCTTTCAGCTACGCACGTGAGCTGGCAAAAGTCCTGCATATGCAAAGTGTTCATGCAGACATTTTATTGTAAAGGTAACCAAAATTGTGCATTTCTCGTTACAATACACTTGCATAATTCTATTTCTATTTTAAAATTAAGTAAATTAAATGAACTTTTAAGTGATTACAAAGGTATTGTGTGAAAACTGGAAAAAACAAGTTTTATATTGTACATGGCAGAATGTTTCTGTAACATTTTTGTAAAAAATGTTGTGAAATGTTTTGAAGAGAAATAGATCTTTTGATTTGTTAAAGTATTTTTTAGTCTATATCGTAAATGGAAAAGGTGCATTTACACAAAAACAAAAAGAACTTAAAAAAAAAACATTGTTTTACTTTACTTTAAAATGTATTTGATGTTTTATATTTACTGAAAATAAATTGACCCATTTTGGATATAGCAGAATGCCTTTAAATAGTTCTCGAAGGAACACCTTTGACACTGTTAAGGTACAACGTGTCTTGTCACTGTAGTGGTACTTCATGAATCAGATTTGTATGAAGATATAATATTGTACCTGCATGTTTTAAAAACCAAATGTACTTTTTGGTTTCTCATGGTACAAACATGTCCTTAAAGGTACAAACTGCAATGGTACACATTTTTTATTTTTTTTGTCTTAAAGTACAATTCTGTTCCATAAAATGTTACTGTCCCATTGACAAGAGTTTGGACCTTCTTTGGTAAAACATTGTATCAATGTAGTGGAGAGAGTTCCAGAGCCTTGGAGCCTGGGATGCGAAAGCCTGTCACCCATAGAGCGCAGACGAGCGAAGGGGACTGTTAAAAGAGCAGATACTGATATGGTTGTGGGCTCTAAATCATGGTCAGATGAATGACAGCTTTGAATGTTAAAAGAACATAGCAATACATAACAGGTAACATTTAATCTTATGAGAAATGCAGTCCCTGTGTGGGATTATTTCTGAGCCTCTGAGTACAGTCCCACACATGGCATTTAGAATGTACAGAATATTCATTAATTCATTTTGCTTTGGCTTTTTATTTGCCACAATGCATTAACTGCTAACTTATCCAGCATATGTTTTACACAGCTTATTTCAGCTGCAACCCAGTACTGGGAAACACCCATACACTCTCACATTCACACACATACACTACGGCCAATTTAGATTTATTCAATTCACCTATTACCCAACCGGGACTCGAACCAGTGACCTTGCTTTGAGGTGACACTGTTAATCAATGAGCCACCGTGTCGCTTGTACAGAATGTTGAAAATTTTAAAAATTGGAATCAGCCAATCTTCCTAATCTGTGCTCACACTAGATTGCACTTTCAAATTTCTGTACGGAGCTCACGTTTTTAATCTTCTGTGAGTTGGTCTCCTGCATAATTTCGCAGGTCAGAGTTCACCGAGCTTGAACTTCGGAATGCAAAGCTTTTTTTCATGAGCTTGAGTTTCTAGTCGGTTGCATACTGAACCATAATTAAAATCAAAGCTTAAAGGGTTGCCATGGATACTAAAAGGAATGCAGTGCAATGTTCTACCACTACCACTAATGACGACTACTAACCTGACGAGATGATGGAAACATTATCATAATGTATGGAAACAACTGAAGAGGTGAAACACATTATTAACAAACAAACAGTCGTAGACTTTACCCTAAATTTGACTGCATGCGTGTTACTCTGGAAATTTGTTATAAAAATAATTCAACACTCATTGGCTTTGCACATTTTTTATCCTTTTCATTTATCTGTCTATTTAATCATGTATCCCATCTACTCTTTTATCTTTTTTATTTATGTCTATAATCTTTAATAATTTTTTACAAAAAACGAATATATGTACTTGTGTGTGTGAGTGTGCGTTCTGTTATGCTATCCATGTTAAACAAAAAAATCTATCTATCTATCTATCTATCTATCTATCTATCTATCTATCTATCTATCTATCTATCTATCTATCTATCTATCTATCTATCTATCTATCTATCTATCTATCTATCTATCTATCTATCTATCTATCTATCTATCTATCTATCTATATATATATAATTTACTGATGCTCCATTCAGTCATAGGACGACTCCAAAACAGCTTGCATTCGAACGTGCTTTCATATTCATCATGAAACACAACTTCTCAGAAACCAGAAAAATCGCAACAAATACAAACGTCTTTCATCCACTTCAGACTTGAGGCTGCTGTGAGATTTAATACTCGGAATGATTACAAATTGATTGCATTGATTGCAAATCAAGGTATTGCTGCCACCTGCTGACACACTCATGAAATAAATAAGTAATTAAAACGTTAAAATGTGTAAATATTCCGCCAAATAAAATGTTATATAAATAAAAATAGAGAAACATCTGTCTAGCTATTTACCCATCCATCCATGGCATGTTACCACATTCTACACTATTAAAATTATCAGCATTTTTTTTGTAAAGCTCTGATATCATTAATTTTCTTTTCGGCTTAGTCCCTTTGTTAATCCACAGCAGAATGAACCGCCAATTTATCCAGCACGATTTTACGCAGCGGATGTCCTTCCAGCCGCGACCAATCTCTGGGAAACATCCACACACACACTCATTCACAACGGACATTTTTAGCCTACCCAATTCACCTATAGGGCAGGTCTTTAGACTGTGGGGGAAACCGGAGCACCCGGAGGAAAGCCACGCACGCGGACGCAGGGAGAACATGCAAACTCCATCCATCTCAAATGTACTACAAGTAAATGATATTAAGGACACCATAGTGGTTAGTTGCTTGTAAGAAAAAAAAATCAAAGACAAAACAGTCTAACCACCATCACGTTTAAACCTGTTAAGTAGTCTCTTAACACACGGACCTACAAAGCTTTTTAGGTCCCTGAGTCCCTCTATGCTAATAATGCACGCACACACACACACACACACACACACACACACACACACACACACACACACACACACACACACACACACACACACACTGTAGAAATGTTGGGCTCCACACAATTGATTTTACAAATTTAAGTAAATTGAACATAAAATAATGAAGTTGTCCCAAAAAACCCTTAAGAATTGTGTTATTTCAGCTCATTTTAAATAAGCAGCTTGAACAAACAGCAAACACCATTTTTTGAGCGCATGTAATTAAACGAAAACATCCCTTTTTAAATAAAGTTTACTTTTATAAAAATTAAAAACACTATAATCTAACCCTAAAAGTGAACTTTGTGTAGACATAAAACAATTGTTTTTTTCTCTCCTGTCAGTATATTGAGAGCATTCTTGAGCACAATCTAGTTATATACTTTTTTTTTTGTGAACACATTAATGTACAATATTTTGACTGTTTTTACAAAGGAGTAGATGCTCAGAAGGAGGTTTTGCTGAAGCCAAGGTCAAAGCTACATTCTGCAATGCATGTCTTCTTGTACGGACTTCATTTTATTCATGCTTAAAGGGCACCTATGATGAAAATCAACTTTTGTAAGCTGTTTGGACAGAACTGTCTGTATGTAGTTTGTCCACAGTCATATTGAGTTATATAAACCCAACAAATCTCTTTTTTAAAATTTCCTGACATAAAAATAATTGACAGACGCCATGTAGCCTACACACGTCCACAGAACTGTTTTTTTTTTTTAAATAAGTTAGCATTAAAATATTTGTTACAAATCTCTGTGATTTTTAAAAAGCTTTATAAGTTTAAAACGTTTTTAAAACGGAGCATGTTTTTAATAGAGTAAAATTGACATGTAATTCTTAACTGATATAATCACCACGGCCGCATGGTGTCGGTAAATGCGCATATATATGTATATGTATGTATGTATGCATGTCTATATGTGTGTGTCATCATTTCAGAAAGGCTTATATAAACTCCACCATAAATACATCAAATAAACTCACTTGGTATTTTTGAGTAATGAGCTGTATTTCAGCTTCCTCCATGTCTGTCTCTGGCCCCATTTACACCGCCAGTTAAATGTGACCCGATTCCACAGATTTCCATCGTGGCTAGTGTGGTGCAGATGCTAGAACCCGCCTTTACGCATATGCGATGTTGTGAATAGTATGGCAAGTGTAAACACATTAATCAAATATGGGTCACAATTAAAAGAACAGGTAAACGAACAGGCAAAAAAAATAAAAAATAAAAATAAATGTGGGTTTCCCCCGGGTTCGTCCCACCATCCAAAAACATGCAACTTAAGGGTGCTTTCACACCTGCCTTATTTAGATTGATTGAATCGCACTAGAGTTTGTTTTCCATTTTGGTGCGGTTCGTTTGGGCAGGTGACAATGCAGCAATCGTACTCGAGTGCGCACCAAAAGCAGAAAAATTAGCTCGGTACGCTTTCAAATAAAAAAAGCATAGCGGTTCGTTTGTGGTCAAAAATATTTGTTGACAGCGCTTTACCAACAGAGAGAGAGAGAGAGAGAGAGAGAGAGAGAGAGAGAGAGAGAGAGAGAGAGAGAGAGAGGAAAACATTACCTGATGGATCGTTGGTAATATTTCCGCAAGATGATAATGTCGCAGTTTAGTTAAATTAATTCACGCCTCCTCCTGAAGTGGCGAGCGATGCATTAAAACATTGTTTTCCAGCCGCAGCCGCGCTTCATTCTCGAAATGTATAGTTTGTCTAAAGCAGGGATACAGTCAGTCAGCGCAGTCGTCCCTCCATAGTAAAAAGCAACATTTTGTGTCTGCCGGTTTACTTGCGGGCGTTCAATGGCATTTTTCCTGCACGTGAATTCTGACCAATCAATAAGCAGTTTAGGAAATATGTTCAACAACATCTGGCCTAAAAGTGATGTGGATTTTGTCAGATGACTGCATTTTGGTTCGTTTCAACTGGTTTGGACCAAAGCCAGCAGTGTGGTGTGAAAACGACCCAAAGACGGCAGAAAATGCAACAATGTATCATTAATTGCCTTTGGTCCGGACCAAATGAAGCAAACTACAGATGTGAAAGCACCCTAAGTTAACTGACTAATCCAAAACAGCACCATAGACACGCTCCTAGTAAGTAGTTATCTCTTAAGAGCAATCACTATCTGTTCATTAGCTACTACAGCAGGGCAGTTCTCGAGAGCAACCTGAGCTCAAACTCCCCTCACGCCTGGCAAACGGGAGGGAGCCCTGGGCTTGAGGATCTTATGAGCTCAGGGCTTTCTCCCAGGACAGCATGCCAAACAAGCTTTATAATCAATAATCAGCTAAATGTGAACTCTTGAATAAATAATCCGATGGGTGTTTTGAGCTGAAACTTTACAGACACATACTAATGAAACCAAAGGTTTACCTTACACCTTGTAAAAGGGGTAAAATACGCACCCATTAAAGAACAACAACTAAGAACTATTCATAAATTTAATGCGGTGTATATAAATGATAACAGTGTACATAAACAACAAGACAAGAATCAAATACGCTCTGCAATAAGAATTTATTATAGCTTGTGACAGACACTCTTTGCAGGTTAGATCTCTGTTCTTTGCATTGAGGTGAATAGATTTCTGCATAGTATTTGTAAGTCACAGAGAAAGGCCATTAACAGGGAAAACAGTCTAGTGGAGTTAAAACAGGTACACCCCAAGATTTCCAAATAAAAGTACTTATTATATTCATACAAAATATATGTATAATATATACTGTGTATAAAACAAACAAACGAAAAATATTAAGGGAAAAAAACAACAACGTTTCAAGTAACATCTTGAAAGAAATGACCGTGCACCCAAGCGCACTTTTGTAAACCATATAAAAGCTAAAATAAAAGAGAAAAAAAAAGGAAATGACAATATAATATATGTGTATTTACAAGGTTAACTTAAGCAAGGCTTTGTACAAATGTTACAAAATCATTTGACACACACACATACTCGACCACATACGGTTTACACAGACAATTTCAGACACACATACACGCTCATCTGAAGTGATTTCACCAATGAGCCGTCACTCAGTGTAGATGAACATGTGGGAAGGTGAACGCCACACACTGCGTCTTATGTTTCTTAATGTAGCGAGTTACTGGTAGAGTTACGCAGCTGCTCTGAGCTCAACGGCCTGTGTTAAATCTAGTAAAACCGTCACTATCAACACTGCTCTCGTTTGATAACACTGTTTAACCAATACTGTACCGGCACATTATCGGTTCATCAGGGACTTGAAAACATAAAAGCACTCCATGGCATGTACGTCGTGAGGGTCTTGGCAGTCATTTTGAAGAGCTGAATGTTGTCGTGTGACTTGCCAGGATTAAAAAAATAAGGAAATGTGAAAGGAAGAAAAAACTTTGGCAACAGTAAGTAAGTGTGATGTAAATTCGACTTGACCAAGGGCTTTACATTGTATAGTACAGTGTAGTAAAGTATAGTATAATAGAGTTTGCATTTTGTACTCAACACGGCAAACTAAAGGACCGTTCACACTAACAGCGATTCACAGAGACAAAGAGATTCATCTATGCAGATTCACCGGAGGACAGGATGATGCTAGTCACTCATTTGCATAAATAAGAGTACTCATTTTTGGAAATGATTAGCAATGTACTGCAGTGACAATAAATAAATAAGCTAAAATTGAAGTTTAAAACTAAATTATTGCGGAACATGCTGCTAAAATGACACCTAAAGACATTCTGGGGGTAAAAAGCTCATTCAAAGTACTAATTTCTTTAGATGACCTTTGAATTGAGGCAGAAGTTTGTCCATTTCCATCCTATTCCTTATTACAGATGACACGTCAAAACTGGTTCATTTAGAGAAATTGGTGCATTTTCTCCCTTATGTAACCCTGTCGGTCCTACACCACCCAAGCTGGGATCAATCCGGCGACTCTCCGCATGGGAGTTGGTTGCACTAGCAAGTAGGCTATAGACCATAGCATCCATCACCACTAGAGCACCTTTTCGGGTTTAGAGGAGTGAGGTTTCCCGCACAGCACTATACTAGCTGACCTCCGTTACACTTAGATGGTTTTGTTTAAGAATATGGGTTACACGAGTACTGCAAATGTCAAGCATACAAATGATTGCATTAGTTAAATCAAAATGCACCTCTTGATGTTTAAATGTTGAAGTACATTATAAGAATGCATATGAGCAGAATTTCAGGAATAATCAGATGCACTCTTAAAAGAGTAAATTCATTTTAGTTCATGAAAGTGAAACAAACCAAATGAAGGTGGTCATTTTCCATACAATTATGAAAATCAAGCATTAACCAAAGCAAAAAATCCACAGGTCTGAAAACAGTTACTGCAGTTTCATTTGAATTTCAGCTTGTTTGGTTTTGAACGTGAAGGGTTGAGTAAATGATGACAGAATTTTCATTTTTGGGTGAACTATCCCTTTAACCCTAGTTCATTGTTGTTAAAGGAAAACTCAGAGTTACAGTTAAACAGTTGAGTTTTACAATATTTTAAACCCATTCAGCTGATCTCTGAGTCTGGTGAGAGGACTTTTAGCTTACCTTAGCATAATTCATGGAAATGGATTACAACATTAGCATTAGACCACTACAGTTTCAAGTTTCCAGCTTCCAATTTTCTTACTTTTTAAAATTTACTTTAATATCTTATTTTATTTCAATCTCTAAACTTTTATAGTAATGTACAGTCCTAAATTATGTTGTCAATTTATGTTGTTTGATGTAGCACCTTGGTGCTGGAGAAGCAATGTTTCGTTTCACTGTGTACTCCACTGTATATTGTTGAAAAGACAATAAAGCCAATTTGACTTGACTTGATGAATGAATAATTTGTATTCCTACTCTGATATTTCACACTCTACAATTCTAAACCCTTTGGTTATCATCCTTATTTGCATATTTGCTGTGTAAGTGTCATTGATTGGACAAGTACAGAATGTGGTCGGTACTTCCATGCTCATATTATTTATTGTTGATTGTAGTTAAAGTTTTAAGTTAAACTATTAGATGATAAAAGGAGACACGCACTGAAATGCCAAACCTTTTACTGTAACTGCCCAGCAGGCACACAACATCATAAGATGTTATTATTGGGTTAGATTTAGGTTGTGACGTCAGGTGACCAAAACTTGATGTCTAGCCAGCATCTAAAGACAATTTTATTTTTGACGTAAAATAACGATCTGTCAGATTACGTTGATATTTGGTTGATTTTAAGTTGTTTTGGAAAGTGACCATAATACAACGTCTGATAGATGTTATATTGGTAACATCCACACAACATCAAGGTGTAATTTGATTAGATGCTGATATGATTTTAGGTTGGACATTGACAAAAGCCTGACGTTGGGGTACGTTGGGCTACAACATCAATATGAGGTCATGTTGACGTTCTGTGCCTGCAGGATGAGTTTCATAACCCTGGGTTAAAAGAAGTTACCTTGCTTCTAAATTACAAGTGTGAAAAGTAACTTGCTCTGTAAGAAAGCAATGTTTAAAACAATGATAACCTGGGGTTATGCCTTAAGATAAAAGTGTGGAAAGCAAGTGTGAATCGCTGTTAGTGTAAACTCACTTTGAACATACCGAGTATGCAGCTACAACACAACCCAAATCCAACTCTCTTGGTTCACTAGCCTGTACACACCACCACTGCTACAAGAAATCACGAAAGCGCGAGGTAGGCACGGCCCGACGTGCAGTAGGGGCTTCAGTTTCTGAGCACTCTGGGTGGGACTCTCTGACATCCTGCTTTTCAACAGGGGAGGGTGAAGCTAGAGGTTTGGTGCTTTGGACCGTTGGCTTTTTGTCTGAACAATCCGTAGGGGACACGACCACTGTGTGTCTCCTCCAAGCGCGTCTCTTCCGGCGCGTCTCCGGCGAGAGCTGCTTTCTCAGGCCAACGCTGCACAGGTCATCCGCCGAGCCCATTAGACGAGCACGTACCTGATCCGCCAGGGATCCTTGCCCGGGGGACAACACACACCCCTTACTTCCGGGACCAACCATGGATATTGGCGTACACTCGTTTCTTATGCTAAACCCTTTGGCTTTTGAAGAAGGAGACGGAGAGGAGTCAGGGATTTGATTGGCACCTGACTGGCGGTCCTCCTCTGCGGCGGAGGAGCTCGAGAGTTCGGAAAGGTCCACTGAGGGAGCTTTGGCTTTGTCCGCCTTTGTCCGACGGCGTGCAAGGGTGTCGCACTGTATGAGGCGGTGGGAGTTGAAAGAGCGGTTGTGGAGCCGTTGTGAGGCGGATGAGGAGTAAGAGGAGGTTGAGGGAGTAGACGAGCGTGCTGCGCTGTCCTCTGGGTTGGTTGTGATGTGTTGTGAAGGGGGAGATGGAGCAGTGGCGGAGCCAGAGGGTGTAGGTGATTTGCAGTGCGCATAGAGGAAACTCTGTGGTGCGGTTGGTTCAGGAGACGCATGAGAGTTCTGGTTGGAACGGTTTGGTTTTTCTGGCCTTTCTTGGGTGAGGGAGCGTGAGGCAAACCCGCTTTCATTATCAGTTTCACTCACTAGTTCACTATGCTCATCATCTGCATCCTCGCCCCGCCCCTCTGAAGCTAAGCTCCGCCCCAAAGTGGACAGAGTAGAGTAGCCTGACACAATAGACCGAGCATCATCTAATCTCCAGCTGCGTCCTCCTTTCACTTCAGACTTCTGCTCTTCCTCTTCGCTCAGCAGCACTGTTGATGTCACTTCCTCTGTTGAGGAAATGCTGGGGACTACTGTTTCCTTCTGCTCTTGTGCCTTCTGTCTCTCAGCCCCCTCCTCCTCCTCTTCATCATCTTCCTCCTCTTCATCGTCATCCTCCTCTCCCTCTGCTCGTGGGGCACAGAAGGATGCAACCTGCCCCATCTCTTGCAGATCGTCTTTCTCGGAGATGCAGGATTTAATGGGTTCATGCTCAGAATCGTCGTCTGTGCTGCTGCCGAGGAGACGGCCGTTGTGCCGCTTCCGCCGTTTGCGGGTCACAGCCGACATAATTGATAATGTAAGGATATCCTTGGCAGTAAAGTCACGTTTTGATCCCCATGACCCCTAAGTATCATTAAAGTAGAATAAATAGATTAATATTAAATATATGGCATCATTAATAATTATTATTAGATGTACTGTAAACTACACAAAAATACTAGAAATGTATGGGGTCAATCTAGGGGCATAAATACTTGAAAAATAAAAGAAAGTTTTGCAAACAAAAAATAAAGTATTGAGCTAAAACAAAGAAATAAATACATGCAAATCTCCAAAAATTGCAAAGCATTTATTATTTTTTTTAATAAAAAATAAAAATAAATTTTGCAAAAAAAAAAAACAAAAAAAACAAACAAACAAAAAAAACCTAAAGTTTTGAGAAATAAAAATAAAATTTGCAAACAAAAAAAAGGAACTGCAAATAAAAATCTAGTAGTGCAAAAAAATAAAATAAAATAAATAAATAAATAAATAAAAAAATATTATACTTCCAAAACATTTTTATTATTACATTACAAAACCTGTCCAGCCAATAGCAATGCTCGTTTTGATTTGCTTTTTAGTCAGCTGTGAGTTTGCGATGCTGTTTTCTCTTTGCACTAGAGGATGACACGGGAGTGGATGGTCACTCCTGTCCTGTCCCACTCCCACAGAAAGAAATCTTGTCCCGTCCACTCCCAGACCAAAGTTTAAATCCCGCTCTTGGTAAAAAGACTCCTGCTCCTGTACTGCTCCCATATAAATTTTATTTCTAATTTTAGTCTTTAGGTAATACATAGAATTTGATTTTATCTGCTCCCCATCCTGTTTTAGACCAGCTGCTGAGTCCCTGTTTCTAGATTTTCTGGAGATAAGTTGCATCAAATAAAAGAAAAACAGTACAGAGTTCACACCAGGCTGCATTTTACTCATCTATTGAAAAGTTTTTTTAATTAACATGTTAATTAACACGAGACGCCTACTCCACGAGACAAGACGAGATTTTTATCCTATTTTAACCTCTTTAATTAAAAAAAACCTAAAAATCACAAATAGCAAAATATTTAGATGCTGTATTAAAAAATCAACTTGTAATAAACGTTATTTTACATTTTTGTAATTTTTCAGCAATTTCTATTTTATTAAGCAACATTTCGTTCATGACTCACTCTGAGGTACTGAATGTGACAATGAAGTAAGGACTGATAGGAGAGAGTTGTTTAAATGTAATTTAATACTGTAGCTGCAAAATGCAGCTGAAAGTCCTTCACGATAGTAATAGTTTGATTAAGGTGTTTAATTTAAAAAAAAGTTATGCCACACCTGCCCAAGCAAACGAGTGACGCGCAACACAGAGGCAGCCTGGGTTGCCAGGTGTGTGCAAAGCACTTGGTGTGTGGTTCAAATCAAATCTTGCCTCCAATCTTCAGTGCTAATTTTACCCTCACACTCCATCATAACATCACAACTCACAAGACAACTTTTCACCTCGACGAGAAATCTTGTTGCGATTTAATCTCACTAGATCTCGTCATATGAGATCTTGTCACACCCCTAAATATATATATCAGGCTAAATAAATCAGGGCCACAAAGTGAAATGCACAGAAACATGAAGTGCAAAGTGAAAGCAGCATCGCAAAATCAGTTTTGCATTTATTTATATATTTTTTTGCTCAATACTTTATTTTCGTTTATTTTGCAAGTATATATGGCCCAAGATTGACTCCATAGAAATGCAACTATGTATATAAAATATTAAAACAATAAAAAAGTATTATATTAAACAAAACAATTAATTAAACATTCAAATAATGTGTAAAACAACTAGTTCTTCTTAATAAATGAGGATTCAAAGTTATCCAGTTACTTTAACTCTTCAACACAACAACCATATTAAATAGCCTTTGGTCAATACTGACCTTAGATTTTGCAGAATCACTGTTGGTTGAGTCTGGTCAGTTCAAAAAAAAAGGAAGAGACAGGGAGAGAGATTGTTAGAGGAAGTTAGTGAAAATTAACATTTTGGCACCATGTTAAATATTTGCTGTATTAATGAGAGGCACAGAGGAGGATGGACCTTTTGGCATTGTCAGTAAATTAATTCATTAATATATAAGGCATACAGCAGCCTCTGTGTCAATCATTAAGCGTCGCCCCATAAACAGTGATTTTGAGACAGTGTTCACACAAGATCCGCAACAAACAACTTGTGTAATGAACAACCAGCCTCTGATTGTCAGCTCATGTTCCAATGTGAACAGGGTCTTAGATGAAGAAGTGAAAGCGCTCATATATGCAGTGAAAAAGATGAAGCGCACACTGATGACATCACAGCACACACTGATGACATCGGACAATGAAATAAGCTATAGGAAAGGCAAGGGCAGAAACTGTGATTGTCAGAGAGGGAGAAAGACCAAACAAACACAATTTACCACCACGCACAGGCCCCGTTCACCTGGTATGAGTGTTACTTTTTTTTCACTAATTCTGAAGGCTATGCTCTTCAATATTCAGATACACTTCAACAAATAAGTTTATTTCACTCTAATATAAGTAAAACGTCATAGATGAGTTCTGTAAACTCAAAATCTGATTGTATTGAAGCTAAATTTAATGAGTTGTCAAATTTCAAAAATAATTTCTTAGTTGGCTCTCAATTTTTTCCCCTCATACTTGTACTACACTACCTGACAAAAGTCTTGTTGTCGATCCCAGTTGTAAGAGCAACAAATATTAACTTGACTTCTAGTTGATCATTTGTAAAAGTGGCAGAAGGTAGATTTTACAGATGAATCATCAGTTGAACTGCATCCCAATCATCACAAATACTGCAGAAGACCTATTGGTACTCGCACAGACGGAAGATTCTCACAGAAATCAGTCAAGTTTGGTGAAGGAAAAATCATGGGTTGGGGTTACATTCAGTATGGGGCGTGCAAAAGATCTGCAGAGTGAATGGCAACATCAACAACTTTAAGGGCGTCACACAATGGATGCACCGCTGAGGCGACACAGCCCGAACATGACAGGTGAAAGTATCACACAACCAGACACACACATTCGCATGCTATTTTAAATAACACTAATCAGATGGCAGTCTGTGGCGTGGCAGAAATATGAACAGTGTCCTGAGTGGTGGCTGGGTGCCACGGACAGCCGCCGATAGCCGGCGACTTGCGGCGCTGGTGTGTGTACCCTGATAGAAACCTATGTTTAGAATTTTGAAATGCATGGCACGGCACTGAGTGCCGATTCTAGTGTGCGACCTGCTTAAGGTATCAAGCATTTGTGCTGCCCATTACATTACAAACCACAGGAGAGGGCACTTTTTTCCGCAGGATAGCACTACTTATCATACTTCAACCTTAAGTGCTAACCAAGGTGCTCTAGGATTGGCCAGCCCAATCACCAGACATGAACATTATTGAGCATGTCTTGGGTAAGATGAAGAAGGAGGCATTGAAGATGAATTCAAAGAATCTTGATGAACTCTGGGAGTCCTGCAAGAACACTTTCTTTGCCATTCCAGGTGACTTTACTAATCAGTTATTTGAGTCAATGCAGAGATGAATGGAAGCAGTCCTCCAAGCTCATGGGAGTCAAACACAATATTAATGCTTTTCCCACTGCACCATGACTTTATATTATATACTGTACATTATTTCTGTTAAGTGACAAGACTTTTGTCCAAGCAAAGTCAGATATTACTGTCCTAATTTAAAAATTCAAAATCAAGGCTTGATCATATTTTATTTTGGTAAAATAAGAGTAATCTAGAGGCCTTTGCCTTTCATATTAGCCACTTCTGATACCAAATGATCAACTAGAAGTCAAGTTATTATAGGTGACAAGACTTTTGTCAGGTAGAGTAAATCATGCTTAGTATGTACAAATACATTAAATACACCCATAATGAGCTGTTCTATTTTATCAGAGATATTCTTAATAATAATAATAATAAAGCTACAGCAAAAATACAGTCTTGAAGTAGCACAGTTTTAATACAAGGTTTAAATGGGGCCCATAATCAACTTAATCAATTAATACAAACACTGACACTCCCATTTGTACATAAAGGCATTAAACACACACTCATTTACACACACACACATAGAGAGGTCATGGCAGGAGAAACCCATCCTACCGCAGTGGCTGTTCCACAGGCTCAGCTAAGAGAGGAATGCAGAAATGTACAGAGAAAGACAGCAGAAAGTGAATATAACAAAAGGTTTTTTAAAAAGAAACCAAAACTCAAGAGAAATGTAGAGAACTTATCATGCAGGAAATGTTTCTACTACTGTAACCAACAGACAGATGTGTCCGTCCACATGCAGATGAAAGTATGTGTTGTGGCGTTAAGGTGGAAAATGACTGCTCGCCAAAGGCTGTTAGTCAGCTAATGAAGACTATTAGTTTACTATGACTGACTATTTTAACCAGAGCATTCTTGGTTGGGGTGGTTAAGATACCTCACCTGAAGCCTCACCCAGCATGCCTGTGCGGCCAATGTTGGAGAGCAGATGATCAATGTTTGGGGCAGGCTGGACATCCTCTGTGTCCACTGGGGTCTGAGAGACGACAGGCAAATATTTAGATACATGACAGACTGTAAAAGTTAAATGCTTAGCAGTGTAATCATAAAGATTCCATAAGTAAGGGATAAAGTACATCCCGCCGGTTTCTTTTGGAGAATAAACACTAACTGGCTAATCAGAAGCTCATTGTGAAGCAGAAGACTGTTGTTTAAGATTTTTTCATTCACATTTATTCATTAGCGCAATGGTTCCCAAAGTGGCGGTCGGGATCCCTCAGGGGCTTGCCGAACAATAAAGGGGGTGACTTGGTGATTAAACCATTAGAATTACATATTGATCTATAATCTACTGAAGATAAAAATAGTAGTTTATAGTTACAGCATTTGCATGCATATATATATATATATATATATATATATATATATATATATATATATATATATATATATATATATATATATATATATATATATATATAAATGTATATATAGATTGCGACCCTTGGGGTGATTACATAATATTAAAGACACAGCAATAGCGTTAGATGCAGCAGATAGATTTTATGGCACCAGGATAAAATTTCTGGCACATTCACAGCACTCACATACATAAAAAAAACAAAAAATGAAGAATAGAGTTGGGCCTATTAGTGTGTGTGCGCCATTGCATGCAAAGTTTCTATATTTATAACCACTTCAGATGATATTGGGGGTCATGAGTCACTGGCATTGTTTTTTTGGGGGTCGCAGGCTGAAAAGAGTGGGAACCTCTGCATTAGCTATCCTTATTATTCAAAATTACTTAAAATAAAAGATTAAAGCAGTATATAGAGAGAGCTTTCTCATCTTTCTCATCTTGTTTATAATTTACTTTGGATAAAAGTATCTGCTAATGTACTAAGAATAACCGGAGCCCTTTATATAAAAAAGAAAACAAACCTTTTCATCCTTATCCTGTTCTTCGCAGAAAAACCAGGTGTACTGTGTAGAGAGAGAGAGAGAGAGAGAGCGAGAGAGAGAGAGAGAGAGAGAGAGAGAGAGAGAGAGAGAGAGAGAGAGAGAGAGAGAGAGAGAGAGAGAGAGTTGTTGTTTAATATCATAATAAAATGGAGACTTTCTGAGAAGTTGGTGTTATGCTGTGTCAGTTTTGTGCTTTACATGCTGAATGAGTGTCTCCACAATCTTGTAGCGGTCTGGCATGTGGGTGACCATGTCTGTCATGTTGTCCTCTGAAGTTCGAACAAGAGTGGGGCCAAACACCAGAGCCAAATTACGCGGCTCCATCTGGAAAGGCACACAAACACACTTTTCAAGTCAAATAAAAGTATTTTATTTGAAAGCTTTATCATAATCCTTTTTAGAGCAAAGCCAACCTCAAATCCCTCATATATATTTACAATAATTAATAATTATTTTATCACTTACAAATCTTAACCCAAGTAAATTACTTAAGTGTTACATTACGCCTTGTATGGTAAAAATTTTATATTTATTTTGTTTAAAAAGAAAAATGGGCGAATTGAATAATTAAATTAATAATTAAATTAAATTAAATAATTTTCACAGAATCACAGAAAATCAAGCATTGCTCACTTTGTTTTTCTCAGAGTGGTCAGCCACCGTCTTTAGGTGTCCAACTAAAAATTTCAGAGTGTGAAAGTAATGATCTGGTAGGTCCCGAATCTGCAGGAATAAAGAGAAGACAATGCAATAATTTAATCAAAAGTGCCATTTATGCAAATATATTTATAGCATAGAATAGCTTTGTTGTTGATCATAATGTTAATAGTGTTTCTTGTGGAACAAATACTCATATTTGATTAATTTCTGAAGGATGACATGACACTGAAGACTAGGGTAATCAAAAAAGTTTAGACTATAATTGATTTTCTTTCAATTACGAACATGCTGAAAACAAGTTCATACCAATTTCTTCATTGTCCTCAGCCTATCGCTGGCGTTCTCCATCCGATTGGCGTCGATAAAGTCATTATATTTATCTTCAGGAGGAAATAAAGGAAGGGAAATAAAAGGAGGAAAAATTCACTTCATGTCAAAGGGTACTTCACACCTTGCAAACTTTTCAAAACATTTAATAAATTTCCATTCATTTACTAGTTATATTAATATAAAGCAGCACTAAGATCACAGCTAGAATGCTCCTGATCTCACCATCAGTGAAGAGGGGTTCAGGGAGTTTACGAAAGAAGGACTTCAGCAGGCTGCTCACCACATTCAGGTCCTGCCATTTCTGTACAGGAGCATAAAAACAAAAGCAGTTTTTAAACAACAGAGGATACTCAGTAGGAGGAGGAAGTATCATCTGAAACAAGAGAAGTGAATATAACCAGAATGTTGACTTGTTGTCAAAAAGCTCATAGAAATGTAACAGTAGCTAGGTTTCTATTGAATTGTTTTAATGGACATTTTGAAGTACCACATAAGAGAATAACGAGTGAAGGAAATGGCAAATTTCATAAAAAACATTCAAAACTTTTCAAAACGCCCTGTTGAGGCGGTTTTTAACCTTGAGTTAATGAGAACACTGGCAGATTGAAATGCATCAGCTGAATAGATGAAGCAGTTTACAGAATACATTCAATAAACAAGTAAAGATTATATATTTTTAACCACCCTTCCACCCTATCCTCTGAAAAAAATTACACATGGACTTTATTGTGAAGCATTGAGCTAAGATGTAACATCAAAAGGCAAAATAGAAACAAACAAATAATAAACAAACATTTAAATAACAATAATTAATGATACTAATTACAGCAGTTAAATAATTGGTTTGAAATGTGCCTTTTATACAATGTTTGATTTATTCTGTAATCTCAACTGAAACATGAAGAAAGGGTAGCTCCTCCCCTTTTAACTGGGCCAGACATGTTAGGGGCGATTTTTTGATTTTCATTTTAGGGGGGCTTAGCACTTTTATAAGGTTGAAAAAAAATTATAATAATATATATAAACCCTAATATCACTTTTATAAGTAGTAATTTAATAGTAATACACTTTAAAATATTTGTTTAATATAGGTTGTAATCTCAAGGCTCAACGCTCGTGTTTACTGTAGTTTTCAATATGCATTTTTTTCCATGTATCAAATAAATAAACTGCCCCTTTTCTAATCAAATGACAAACATATAAATATATCTTTTTAAACTTACAGGTTAATTAATATATTTTACAATCTGAATGATAATAATAAATAAGAAGTGTTTTTTTAATACTAGACAACACTTGATGTTTCATTCTATAAGTGCTTCTGTCACTGTGTTTTATCCTTTCTGTGCAACATTGTATGGTATAGTTCAGGGGTTTTCAAAGTGTGAGGCACGCCTCCCCTGGGGGGCGCCAGAGCATGTCAGGGGAGGCGCGGGAAAATATAATATAATAAAAATATAATTATTAAGTTTAATTATTATATGTATTTTTTATTATATTTAAAAGTTTTAATTAAACAACGCAAAAAAATAATACGTCAAATATAAGAAAACCTTTTAACCCAGAAGGCCATAGCTGTGAATTCGCTTCTGATTGACAAGCCCGCCAATACAGGTATATGCCTGCTAATACAATGGGTCGGTTTCTGATTTGACTGGGATGGACAGTTCTTGGATCTGTTCTATTCATATTGAACCATCATCCTAGTTTTAAAAATGTTATATTAAAATACTTGTTATTACTCTGTAAATAATTGCACTTTCATGCAAATGATGATAAAAGTGAGTTAACAGTCTGACATCTGTCTGTGTCTTTATATATACTGTATATATATATATATATACATATATATATATATATATATATATATATATATATATATATATATATATATATATATATATGTGTGTGTTTGTGTGCGTATGCGTGTGTGTGTGTGTGCGTGCGTGTTTGGGAGGAAGGGGGCGCCAATGGATAAGTTGTGTCAAAAGGGAGGCCCACAGTCTTAGACTTTGAAAAAGCCTGGTATAGTTAATTCCACATGAACTGTAAAGTGTTTAATATTGGTAGTTTATTTTGAAATAGAAATAGCGAAATGTTTCTTAAGAGTTACACTTTTCGCTGGAGGAGACAGCTGTGCTGATGATGTTAACACATAGAAAACCCGACTGCTCCTCCATGACATTGGGATACAGGTGATACAAGGTTATTTATATCAAAGAACTGCAAATAAGCCGATATTATAACAATAATATTATAAAAAAAATAACGTTCTCTCGCAGTCCACGGCTGTGTTTTGACAATCAAATGAAAAAGTAGAGGATTCTGCCGCTGTTTTCTTATCAATTTTAGCAGGGACTGAGACGATAATTCAGTGTACAGTTTATGAGCTAATCGCAAAAGTTTTATGGGGCTGTATAGAAATATAGGGGGGCTACAGCTCCCCAAAAATAGGCCTAGCAACGCCAATGCAGCACACTAGCTAATAGATATCATTAAAACTAACAATACTCTCACCAACATCTAAATACCTTTATTTTAATTTCACTGGACCTAAACATTATCTTGTCACGTCAGCAATTTCAGTCAATGTAACATCCAAATTATTTATGTATGCAATACATTGGCTAACTGAATAAATTCTGGCTTAAAAACTGATCAGCCTTTCTGGTTGCTTGACTACCAGGTTGCCAATACCACTGTCAGATGCTCAAACAACTTGATAGAAATGCTTACGCATTTCAGTTTTTGAGGATTTGCTTTGCATTAGGATGGAAACTCATCTCACCTCCTCAGTGATGTTAATGTCTACTCCTTTGTTGAGCTGCTCCTGCAGACTGGAGACTACAGCATTGTTTCCTGGCACTCTGTAGATCCCTGTATACTCCAGACCCATGTCCTCCACCAGCCCACAGCAGATCTCCACAATCTGAGGAATGAACTGCACACACAACACAAACACACGTTAAACATGCTCACATAAAAATAACGAGGACACACATGTTACCCGTTAACAGTTTGAGATTAAGGATTTTTTCATTCTCTTTTTAAAGCCAATTCTGCTCACCAAGGCTGCATTTATTTAATAAAAAATGTAAAAAAAATACATATATATATTATTACAATTTAAAATAAGTATTTTCTTGGTCAATGTAGTTTAAAAATGTAAAATATTCCTGTGATTCATTGCTAAATTTTTAGCATCATTACTCCAGTCTACTGTGTCACATGATCCTTCTAAAATTAGTGTAATATTCTGATTTGGTGCTCTACTATGATCAATAGTTATTGGTACTCGATCGTTAATAATGATTAATTTCTTTCCAATTTCATAGTTCTGTGAAAACTGATACAATTGTACTTATTTTAGGATTATTTGATTAAAAGTATTAAAAATAACAGCATTTAATTGAAATAGCTTTTTTCTTCTATGAATAAAATAATTTACATGTTTATAATTTACATTAGAGTTTTCACAGAAAATCTGAAGTTACCCAAATGTTTTCAACACTGATAATAATAATAATGTTTTTTTGAGCATCAGATCCTCATATTAGATTAATTTCTGAAGGATAATATGAGTAATGATGATGAAGAAAATTCTGCTTTGAATCACGAGAGCAAATTACATTTTAAAATACTTTTAATTGAACTTGTTCTATATTAAGCTGCTCTGACACAATCTACATTGTAAAAGTGCTTAAGAAATAAAGACAAATCAAATTAATAAGAAAGCACTTTCGCAATATTTCACATATTTAACATTTTTACTGTACTTTTGATCGAATAAATGCAGCATTGGCAAGCAAAATAATCTACTAAAAAAACGTCTTTCTGTTCCCAAACTTTTCCCTAGAAAATCCAGGACAAACCTTGTTGTTTACTGCAGGCTGGCAGTCCTCTAGACGGACGCCAAAAGCTTTAGGACCGGCCTTCTTGCTCTTCTTCATTATGTTTATACCCCAGGGAGATTTTGGGGGGCTGCTCTCATCTTTGGCCTCGTGTTTTGGGGAGCGTGGAGGTGCGCTGTTGTCTGGCTTGCTGAGGAGGAAGGTCATTCGATGCACTCTGGGTGAGGAGTCTGGTTTGTTACCCGTTGGACTGCAGAAGGGAACCAAGAAGGTCATTTTTGAATTCGGATTAATAAAATGTGTTGAAGTTTCTGCAGTGGTCTTGTACTGTATCTCACCTTTGCTTCCTGTAGTCGTTAAGCTTTTTATTGATGAGAGCTTGTCGTGAGAAACCCAATTCCTGCAGACGAACATAAAAAAAGAATAGTTTCAATTTTACTGTAAAATAAAATAAATTGTCCAACCTCCAACATTGACACGTTGTGCCGTGCAGACGATAACACATAGTGACAACTGCAGAAAAAATCATTTAAATCTAAACTTTTTCATTCACTAAACATCTAACACAAATATAAAAGTTCAAATTAAAGCGCATTTTCATATATTTATAAAAAAAAACTTGATTAGGCTGATGTTTGCATATTTATAATAAAATAATAGAGATTAGTTTTAACTAAATATGTTACTTTCACATTTCATTTGATTTCAAATCGTTTAATAAAATAAATGTACTTTATAATTTGTGTATTTTAGTTTCACAATAAAACGCATAAAAACATATAAAACATTTAAAATGTCATAAAATAAAAGAGTACAGTGAGTGACACTATAAAAGGAGCCTTACTGCTGCGAGTCGTACTGCCGACACACTAAAGCAGTTAGAATGTGTTTTTAGGTATAACCGCAGTTTGCGACTATGCAGGGTGCACAAACGGACGGGATGCGAATGGACTGAAATTTACAATAGCTGTAAATACCCTGCTACTTGTGAATGAAAATGAAATGAGACAAAACATTATAATTCCTTCATTAATCATTAAAAACTTGTTAACAAGCTTTATTATCATTGTAAACATGTTAAGTGAAATGAGGATTCATCATTCTTTCATTCATTTTCTTGTCGGCTTAGTCCCTTTATTAATCCGGGGTCGCCAAAGCAGAATAAACCGCCAACTTATCCAGCAAGTTTTTACGCAGCGCATGCGTACCCATCTCTGGGATACATTTACACACACATTCACACACACACACACACACTCATACACTACGGACAATTTAGACTACCCAATCCACCTGTACTGCATGTCTTTGGACTGTGTGGGAAACCGGAGCACCCGGAGGAAACCCACGCGAAGGCAGAGAGAACATGCAAACTCCACACAGAAACGCCAACTGAGCCGAGGTTTGAACCAGCAACCCAGCGACCTTCTTGCTGTGAGGCGAAAGCACTACCTACTGCGCCACTGCCTCGCCCGAAATGAGGATTCATTTTGGAAAATAAAATTAAATAAATAAAAGACAACTAAAATAAAGGTACAAACGTACATACAAATAAGTAGGCCTCAATAAATAAATAAAGCAAGTTTTAGTTGCTAAGACAGTCAATAAATAAGCTTTTTTTATTTATGTTTTCATTTACATTTTTGTCTCATTTATTGTACATAAATAATAAATGAATAGTTAAATAGGCCTAAATAATAATTTATTTGAAGATATTTCCAGCGAAATGGTCCGGCATCCAGGTTGAATGCTACTTAATCAAAAGCATAAAGATAAATTAATTAATAAATTTAGATTTTTTTTCAATTAAAAAATAAACAAAAACTCCTAACTTTAATTTTAGCATGTTTACTTAAATTAGTTAATCACTCAAAAAAGTAGTTAAAAAAATTAAAAAGCTTTTATTAACATGGCTATTATTAAAAAAGGCAAAAAGGCACCAGAAAAAGGCTATACTATTATACTTTACTATTTCCCCTACTTTTTGAGTCCGCCAGACTGATGTTTTTTTTTGTATCTTTAATAAAGTAAAACAATTTTAGATTTTAGTTAAAAAAAAATAACCTTTTGCGATTCAAAAATATAGAATGAAATACTTGCACATTTTCTTACTTTAATTTACTCTTTTATATTAGAATGTTTCTTTTAGAAAATCATTTAAATAAAGTAAAACATATATAAAATGAAGTATTATGACCACATTTACAATTGCTGCCACACCTGAGGGTGAAAGCAGATCTAAAACACAAACACCCAATTAGCATAAACAACCAATCAACTTCTCTTTACTTGCAAACACAACATCATCTGCACAAAGCCAGAGCAACAAAACTGAATCATACACTATACTGCAGCATCATCATCCTCACCTCGTTGTCGGTCTTGCTGTTGTCCCTGATGACTCGGATCCACTCCAGCATGTCCTCTCTGTCCTCCGCCTGCAGCAGGTACTCGCAGAAGTCCTGCGTGGTCAATCTCAGCGCGTGCTTGCGCTTCGTTTCACTGTATGCTATATCCACAAGGCAGCCCCGGATGCTGATTGGCTGCTCGTCTTCAGCCCCGCCCCCTAATTGCGCCCCTTTAAGCACTGCCTCTCGCTTGTCTTTATAAAGAAACAGAGAATGGGTCCTAAGCACAGAGAACACCCGTCTCCATGGCCAGATTGCACTGCCAACCTTCTGCAAAAGAGAGGGATACACAACAGATCAGACAAGGTACTAATCAGTCACTTAACAAACAATTCAACAGTGATAGGAACTACCTTTATTATTAAATTGTGCAGTTCTCTGATGTCTACTTATAGTATTTGTTGAACCACGTGTTAAAGGCACAACATATGAGATTTGTTTTCATTAAAATTAACAGTGTTACATATTTTTCTATCATACATAATCCCAAAAGTTTCAAAGAATGTTCAAATCCAGAGAAATAAGCTGTTTTATCTAGGAACCAGTGTCTGTTTTGATTTTATAGAAAATAGGGCAACACCTACTGTAAGACACTTTAATATGTCATGTATTATAGTTATAATAGAACCCCAAAATGTATATATTATGATAAAACAGTGCTGCTTCTTCCCCACGTGATCAGAACTAGAAGAACCAGAAGCAGAAAATTGTGGCATAATAAAAGTTCTGCTGTTTTTATGTCCCATTATGCTTGTCCCTCATCAGCAATTGCTTCAGTGGTCCAAAAAATATGCCTTTGTTGGTTATGAATATGTTCCTCTAGTGGCGGAAATTACATACTGCGCCTTCAGGGCAGAATGTAGTAAGTACATGTAGGTTGTAAGCTCTCTGTAATACTCAATCAGAAGTCTACAAATTGTTAAACATGAAAATAGCTTGAAATACGTGTGAACTGAATATGAAGAAATGATCAAAATAAAAACATTAGCCTTGAAATTAGTGTAATAGCCTACACAGGGAAGAAAAAAAAGAGGAAGAAACATGAAGTCCCTAAGAACACCACCATTTAGTTCACGAATATAAACAACAAAATCCTTAAAAAAATGGGAGTCATCTGTCACAAACTGGATACCCAGCAAGTGTTTTTTTGATTTGAACAGATGTCTAATAGACGTCTAAACATAGTCATCTTGGCTAAAACAAGACTAAACTTGGGCTGTTATTTTTTTACAGTTTTTGGTGGCCTGCCAAATCTCACAAGTTACCTTGCAAACAATTTTGTGTATAACAGACGTCTAATAGACATCTAAACGTAGACAGATTGGTCAAAACAAGGCTAAACTTGGGCTGTCAGTGAAAATCTAATAGAATAGGCCAAAACTAGACCAGTTGTCAAATAAACAGAAATGAATGACTACACATATAAAGCCTGTCTAATCTGTCTATTTGACGACTAGTCTAGTTTTGAGCTGTTCTTAGATGTCTATAAGATTTTCACTGACAGCCCAAGTTTAGCCTTGTTTTAGCCAAGCTGTCTATGTTTAGATGTCAACTAGACATCTATTGAGCACAAAATTGTTTGCAGGTTAACTTGTGAGATTTGGCAGGCCACCAAAAACTATATAAATGCAAAAGGCCATGAGCAGAGGGAGATGAAGGAAGTGAGAACTTCTTCATTACCAATCAACCAGTCACTATTGTCAGTTTAGAATTGTCTTTGAGTTTCCCCTGCTTTCAATTGTATAATTCAATTTCTTTAATGTGCGCTTTGTTTGTAAATGAATCTACAGTGAACTAAAGTTAAAAAAGAACCAATATCCTAATGACGTGATCTGGAAGTTCATCCACTCTTTCATAATGTTGGGATCAGAAGAAGGGCAATTCAAAGATTGTGTTTTTCCATTGCACTGCATCTTCGGAGAATCTTTATTTATTCATGCACAACATGTAAAAATCAGGGTCAGAGCTAAACAGGCAGAGCTTTAGAAACATGCATTGATCTTCTTCTATGGAGGTGGAGTTTAGCCAAATATTACATCATGAAATGTCACAGTCACAGCCGGTCATTTAGGCAGATTGGCTTCAATATAAGCTGACTAACTCCAAACGTTTTGAATTTCGAGTCTCACAGAATGCTTTTATAGTATCAAAAGATCAAGTGACTTTGATTTCTCAGTTCATGACCCCTTTAAACCAAAGCAACTTTAAACCATAACCTTTGGTCACAAGCTGAGTAATAACCACTTCGGATATCAATCTAAAGCTACTCTTGCCGTTTCTTTCTCTTACCTTGCCCTTCTCCGTGTGGATCTGTTTGAAGTGGAGCCAGCCTTCTCTCTTCACGTCACTGTAGCTGATGTTGCCCAGCTCAGAGGTAGAGTGTCGTTTAGAGCGAGCCTCTTCAGCAGCACCCAGACTGTCCAGAGACTAAACCAGAACATAGAATATGTAAAAACACAAATATGACACTAACAGGGAACTGCATTATACAAAGACGCGCAATACAGGAAGAGAACATTTAAAGCTGCATAAAGCTACAGCATACAGCATATTTAATTTCTGCATTTTTAATTATTGCACATTCCTCTGACTAACTTATGTTATGAAGTCGGGGTGTGCTATATGTCACAAATTTTTGTGACTAAATTGTTATACCAATTCGTCACCTTGAAATTATAGGGTTCAATCTAGGCTCTGAATGATTTTGAGAGAATGAGCTTCAACGTTTTTGCATTCCATATAGCAAACAGTATGTGAACAATGTAAGCAAAAAATGTAAACAGCTTATAAGAAACATACCATAATGTAAGTCATTTAATAAGAATATGTCAGTAACTCAATTTTGACAAAAACTGAATCAGATAGAACCTTATAATTCTAAGATGACGAATTTGCAAGCTCACATCTTTACATATGTGATTAACAAAAAAAGACAATCGAAAAACTATCAAAAACACCATACTTTATTGTTCAACTTATAGTTGAAACCAGGGCTTAATTTGTCCTGAAACACGCCGGATCCGGTACCTCTGAAAATTGATCCGGCACCTGATTTTACCGATCCCCCTCCTCAACCACCCTCCTCCCCCGTCCACTGTTCACTTTCACTTTCTTCCGCAACTTCCCCACCCTCTTCACTTTTATCTGCGACACCCATGCCCCACTCACTTTCGTCCGCGACACCCCTCCGCCATCCACTGCACCATCCAACAACAAGTTCAACTTATCAACTATAAGTTCAACTTATAGTTGAAACCAGGGCTTAATTTGTCCCGAAACACGCCGGATCCGGTACCTCTGAAAATTGATCCGGCACCTGATTTTACCGATCCCCCTCCTCAACCACCCTCCTCCCCCGTCCACTGTTCACTTTCACTTTCTTCCGCAACTTCCCCACCCTCTTCACTTTTATCTGCGACACCCATGCCCCACTCACTTTCGTCCGCGACACCCCTCCGCCATCCACTGCACCATCCAACAACAAGTAGTAGTTGAAGTAGCTTTAGTTTAAATCATTGAAGTAGTTTTTAAGCTTTAAACAGCTGGCGTAGATAGAGAGGTACATTTATCTTAGCATGTTTATAGTATGGATGGGTATGTTTATTGCTAGGTGGTTGATAGGGGGTTATAAATGGTTGCTAAGGCGTTCAATGGTGGTTGCTAGGGTGTTGCAACTCAGTTCCTTGGTTGTTCTGAGTGGTTGTTAAGGTGTTGCTAGGGTGATCTAGGTGGTTGCTAAGGTATTGCTAGGAGGTTGCTCTGGTGTTCTAGGTCATTGCTAAGGTGTTGCTAGGTGGTTGCTAGGGTGTTCTGAGTGGTTGCTATGGTGTTCTAGTTCATTGCTAAGGTGTTGCTAGGTGGTTGTTAGAGTGTTCTGAGTGGTTGCTAGGGGGTTAATAAGGCACTACTAAGTGGTTGCTTGGTGTTGCTAGGTGATAGCTAAAGTGTTGCTAGGTGGTTGCTAGAGTGTTCTGAGTGGTTGCTAAGCAATTGCTAAGGTGTTTCTAGTTGGTTGCTAAGGTGTTATAGGTCGTTGCTAGGTGGTTTCTAGGGTGTTGCTAGCTGGTTGCTAAGGTGTTCTAGGTTGTTGCTAAAGTGTTGCTGGTTGGTTGCTAAGGTGTTGCTAGGTGGTTGATAAGGTGCTAACCTTATCTACGCTAAGGGTTGCTAGGGTGTTCTGAATAGTTACTAGGAGGTTGCTAACATAAATTAGCATGGCTCCAGTATGAATTAGCATGTTGTTAGCATGTTTCTAGTATAAATTAGCATGTTGTTAGCATAAATTTATTAAGAATTAGCATGTTGCTAGTATGATTAGCATATTAGTTAGTATATTGTTAGAATGGTTTGCTATGTTATTACTATGTCCAATGTAAAGTCAATGGCAGCTTTTTTACAATGGAAGTCTATGGGACAGTTTGTTAGGGTGCCCTATGTGTTTGCTAGGGTGTGGCTAGTAAGTTGAAAGGTATTCATTGATTGGCAGATTTATAGTCTGAGTTAAATGAGCTCAACCTTAAGTCTCTATTACAGTCTGGCGCAAAGTTATGAGCTCCTAAAGTTTGGTCCAATGTAAAGTCAATGGGAATTTTCTGAATTTTCCGAGTCACTTTTTGAAAAACCGTAAGTCGAATCAGTTGGAAAAGATATAACAACACGAGTTTGGAGGTTCTGAGTAAGAAAATTGCACTAAAATGTATGAATGAGATCATATACAGTTATATAAATTAACAACTAAATCAAAAGTTACAAATTACTAAAAGCTTGAGCTGGAAATACAGTATTTACGTTAACAAGATTACGAAATTCTGCTCTGTGTCAGAGTATGAGAGTGTATGACAGTTTCTACTGTAGTAAACTCACCCCTTCAGTAAAGAAGCTCTTGACTCTTTTTGGAAGCCTCCTGTTAAACAAGCACAACAGGAATATGTTAAAGCATAAACACTGACTGACATCTAAATATCTCAAAAATGCCCTTCCTGATGTTGTTTGCATTATAGTGCAAATCATAACAGTATAGTAAAAAATCCCAAAACTCACGAGAAGACCCGGCCCTCTTCTCTATATGCGTTAAGCCCCTCATCACATGACTTGGAGCGTTCAGTGGTGATGGCCAACAGGTACGAGGAGCGACGATTAGATTTAGGATCACCTGCTCATGGGGAGAGAGAGAGGGAGAGAGAGAGAGAGACATCCATTCATTAAATTCAGTGAAAAAGGAATACAGAGTATAGGAGAAGAGAGAGAACGAGAGATCTGGTGAAGGACAGTTAGTGTGGAGTTGAGTGGGGAGTATCTGAGATTAGGAGGTGGGAGGGAGATGATCTTCATCACAGTCTCAGTAAAGATGATGCACAGGCATTACCAAACGATCATTGTGGATCTATATGAGATGCAGCATGCACATTCACATTTGACTGTTTTGTGCAGTACGAATACGCATGCAGTAGGGGGAGCTCTACGTCGATCACATGCAACAATTTTTAACTAAATTTCTTAAAGTGCCCCTTATATGCTATTTTAAATGTTATTTTACAGCAAATTTACGATCCATGCAAGCTCAAAAACACTTTCATTTCTTTATAAAATTCATTAGAGCATCATATCTTTTTTTCCCCCCCTTTGTCTGAAACGGTTCTTTTGAGGATCTGGTTTCTCTAAGATACTCCTTGATAAACCGCCTTATCTGATCTAATTGGTCAGATGGGGACTGTTGTAATTGTCAACCACTTATAGCACCCTGCAGGCACAGGACGTCAACATGACGTCAGACTGACCTTGTACCCCATTGTTGTGGAACATTGCATTTTGTTTGGAAATGAAAATCAGGTTGACTTCAGAACCCAACCTAAGGTCGACGTCACTGTCCAACATTGGACAAAAGTTGCATTTTGGTTACTTTCCAACGCAACCTAAAAACAACCAAATATCAATGTCTAATGCTGTTACAGCTTGATGTTGTGTGGGCATTACCAATATAATGTCATCAGACGTTGGATTTTGGTTGCCATTCTTGATGAAAAAATTTCAGTATTTGACGTCAATATGATGTTGGTTTAAGATGTTGGCTTGTTAGATGTTGGATTTTGGTCACTTTCCAACACAACCTAAAATCAACAAAATATCAACGTCATTTTACTGCATTATTGGATGTCAAATTAAAATTGTTCGTAGACGTTGGTGACCTAAATTGAACCTAATGTTAACGTCTTCTGAAGTTGTGTGTCTGCTGGGCTCATTTACCACTTACTCTCATTACCATATCTAAGGGTGCTTTCACACCTACACTTTTGTTTCGAAACCTGTCTCGTTTGCCCAGTTAGCGCGGTTCGTTTGGCATATGTGAACAGGGCAATCGCGCTCTGTTCCGCGCCAAAGTAATCGCTCCGAGACCGCCTGAGTGAGGTGGTCTCAGCTCGACTGAAATGAACCCTTGAGCGGTTCGATTGCAGTGAGAAAGCGATTCGATCCGAGCGCGGTTATATAACAGTGTTTTTATGGATATGTAATTATAGAGAATTATGAGTAGGGCGGGAAGTTTCGCGAGTCTCCGGATGCCCGCAAACGAGTGATGATCTCCCGGTAATCTCGCGTCTCCCTCCTGGTCCTCAAATAGGCATCGTCGCGCACCCTTCTCACCCCTCCCCACCGCATTTCTCTCGCGCACACCTTGTCAATCACCACCAAACCACCACCTCTCCTGACAGCTGAGCGGGACGCTGCAAAATAAACCCTGACACTCTGACCAATGTAAGGAGAGTTTACTTGCACGTGACTTGTTTTAGCTCTTTTGGTCCGATTAGAAACTTTGCAGTGTGAAAGCAAACCACTTCAAGAGCAAAGAGCAACAATGTAACATTTGTAATCTCTGTTTCGGAACAACTGAATCGATTCACAGGTGTGAAAGCACCCTAAACTTTACAGCATATTCACAACCAAACTGTCTTAGAGATTGAGGTTCAAAGTAGTCATTGGCTGCATCTGAAATCGCCTACAACTTGTATAGATACTACAATTGAATTTGAATTTACTACATGACCATTAGAAAAGTATGTTCTTTGTAATATCAATGTGAGTACTATGAATGAAACTCGAAAACATTACATCCTCCATTTGTCATAATCACATGACTTGTCTGCGTCAGTTTTGTCGTTTCATTTACATTCATGAATTTTCTCGTATTGCATCATGGGATAGTGTTGCACTTCAGAATCTCGTATGAAGAAGTAGATCATCAGTATCCTTTTCGCCTACTTTCTTTTTGAATACCATGAATACGGACATACTACTTGGCTCGCATACTGTTTTTCACATACTATTTAGTAGTAAACTATGCAATATTGGACGTAGCCATTGTTTACAGGTAGCCGGTGATGAAAATTGATAGATAGAAGAAATGTAATTTCTGACGACCCATTTCAGACTCGTTTCTTTTTTAGGGGGGAGTCAATAACTCCACGTACTTTTATATTCAGCTTTAGCACACACCACATGAAAGTGAATAAGCAAAATAGCATAACAAGGGCACTTAATCTGTGTTGCATTGTTTTGATCCAGACATCGATTTGCACATGGTTATTTTTGTAGTAGCGACAGTGTTTTTCGTTCCCTGCTTCACTCACTGCAGTTGTGGGAGAAAAGGCGGTTGAGGGGAAAGGTGAAGGTTGGGGAGGCGGGGCTTGTGATCACAGCAGGGGCGGAGTTTATACCGCCACTGGACACGACGGAGGAGGCGGGGACATGACGTGCCCGCAGATCTGCACTTGGACTGGTCGGCTCATCTGTGGGAAGGAGTGGAACGAAGGAAAGGAGAGGAAAAGGGGAGGGAAGGAAGGAAGGAAAGGTAGGACAACAAGAATGAAAGAAAGTTATAAAGTGTTGGTAAAAGGAGAAAGATTGAAACAAGGGGAAGAACAGGAACAGGAAGAAAGGAGGGAAAGATTAGAGGGAAGGCAAATGGTGTTGCACAGTTAATTTAAGGATATTCAGATTTAATAACACACACACACACACACACACACACACACACACCAGCACACACATAAAGAGAGAAACTCTTCCTCTGTGATATATCATTGAATTTTCAGGCGCTAAATTTACTGCACAACCTAATGAGCTTTAGAGATTAACCATATACCCACAAATCAAACAAATCAAATTATGGAAGGTACAGAATCAGTACTCACTGCTCGCATGCCAAACTAAAAACGTCAAATGAAAGATGAGGAAAGCAGAAAAACAATCAAATATTTTGTACCTGACTTGTAGCCCTCCATGAAATATGTGCTCAATGTGGAAATGAGACGTACAAGCACTCTTTGTATTAACACATGGTTTCAGTTCTTGCTAAAGCGCTTAGTGCTCAGTGTTGCATGTGTTTGGTGGGAAGTGATTGGTTGTTGCAGGTATGTTTTGATAGAAACCTCTTTGGAGTTGTTAACTGGTTACTAACTGGCTAATACTTTAAAGATCCACCTTGATCTGCAAAATCCTTCATATATAAGGGTAATTCTTCAACTACGGCCATTTTTATGTACTTTGATCATATATTCAAAAATATATTATGGTTTAAATTCCTCTTTCTTTGTCAAACTAATAATAAAACCTACTTAAATACTAGGTTTCTATTATATTTTTTTCATTTTATTTAACCTCCTTTTAGGTGTCAAAATCACTGTTTTTGCCTTGTCGCACAACCAGAGTTTTAAACTTCAACAATGAAAATAACATTTTAAAATCTTATTTATCTGGTATCTATTCATGTATCTTAATAAAGCACTAGTGAAATAATTTAAATATTTTATAGTTATTAATGTGAGACTATTATCAATATTATATTTAATACAAAATATAGCTGTCGCACAGTATCAGTGTCATCTCCACCACAACACTGTAATGTCGCTTTAAAAAGTTTGTGTAAAACATTAATTAGGTGGATTTTATGAAAATGAATACTGCCATCTAAGCACATGTTCAAGATGAAGGAATTTAAATTTTTATCAACAACACTAAGAATAATCAAAGGTAAATATTGCTTGATAAGGAAATACATTTATTTAGTATTATATACATTTATTATTATTTATATTTATATGTTGTACCTTCAATGATGTTTTTAGAAACCAAACAAAATTAAGATAAATAGGAGTGCTTGTATACATGAAAGGCTAGTATCAATTCAAAGCTAATCAGTGAAGCTATTTTTCATTTTTTCACAATAAACTTTAGACATGTCATTTCCATCACCACACACATATTTAAAAAATATTTAAAAAGTTCTCATCAAACATTAAAACATTAATATACAAATTCAGTTTTTTATTTTCTAATAAGCTCTTAACCAAATTAATATTACATTTTAGAGTGTGACAGGTGTACAATTCAGCAATCAACTAATTTATTTCATTGACAAATGTATAATATATATATATATATATATATATATATATATATATATATATATATATATATATATATATATATATATATATATATATATATATATATTGTGGAAAGATTGGTTAAACTAGATACAAAAGGTCTGACTGCCATCATTTATTTCATTTTGAAATAAGCTGTATATTGAGATGTGGTGGAATTGACCTTTTTTTTCTGTTCACGATGTAAAAAAAAAAGTTTCTCTTCTAATCTAAGTTTGTCCTCGTACAGATCTTAAAACTAGAAAATTTGTTTAAACTTATGAGTCTATGTTAATTTCATTTTGAACATGTTTTTTTTTCTCAACTTCACAAGGCTAAAAGTGCCTGTAGTTGAAGAATGGCCCATAAGCGTTTTGTGAGATTACTGGCATCAAAAACTTGAAAAACCTCTAATTTCAAAGCATGTGCTTAGTTGTTTCAGCTCTTTCTAGCCCTGCAGGAAAAATGATCACTTCAAAAGCATAATTTGGCTGCACGTTGGTATGTCAGTGACTAAGGATATTCCGTCAACCAGTAAACCCACTAAAACAACACCAATTCAAACCATGAGGTGGCAGCAAAACTAAACTAAAGGTCAAGATTTGGCTGGTTTAGTTAGCATGCTAAACTAAGTTGATCAAAGGTGACTTGCTCCAATTTTACCTAATAGATTAGATCAATGCTTTAAAATGGATTGTTTTAAAGGAAACAAGTATTTAGAGATTGGAGCATATCATGTAATGCAGCCTTGATTTTTGATCTGGTTCTGATCTTCAGCATGTGTTGCTCAAAAACACATTTTAATAAAGCTGGGGTACATTTGATCCACATAATTCAGGATTAACCTGGCTGAATTTCAAGAACAAATTGTAGCTTTTAAACCGGCCTAATATTCAATTCATATTACATTATTTATACACATTATTAATATGCTGCATCTGATTTAAAGGGAAAGTTCATACAAAATGCTGTAATGATTTACTCACCCTGATGACTTTCCAAATAATAAAGATAATAAACCACAGTCATTCTCTAGGACTTCCGTTGTATTTTTAAATAGAGATATCAATGAGAATCACAGGCATTTAATCCTAAAATTCCACAAAAGAGAGTCAAATAATTTTGGAACAACATAAGAGTAAATAAATGATGGCGTTACTTATTGAAGATAATTTCTTACAGTGTGCCCAAACAACTCATTCACCCATTTATTTTCTATTCGGCTTAGTCCCATTATTAATTCGCCACAGCGGAATGAACCGCCAACTTATCCAGCAGATGCCTTTCCAGCTGTAACCCATCACTGGGAAACATCCATACACACTCATTCACACTCATATACAACGGACAATTTAGTTTCTTCAATTCACCTATAGCGCATGTGTGTGGACTGTGGGGGGAACCGGAGCACCCACAGAAAACCCATGCGAACACAGGGTGAACATGCAAACTCCACACAGGACTGCCCACTGACTTGGCTGGGGCTCAATCCAGCGACCTTCTTGCTGTGGGGCAATCGCGTTACCCACCATGACGCCATGCCCAAACAACTGTCAACAACAAAAAAATATATATATTTACTGTCTACATTAAATATATATACACACAAGTCAACTGTCTATATGACTACAATGGCAATCATCAGATGTATGAAGCATGTATGTTTGATTATTCTAACCTAGACTACAATTCTTAACAACTATTTCCTTTAGGTAGATGCTATAACCATAACATCTTTACAAAAAGAGTATCTTCCTCCATTAACATCCATTTTAAAGTAGTATAAGTGTTTTTTGTTTAAAGCATCGACCAATCTGAAGTCCAATCCATGACTTTAGCACATTTCTCAACTTAATGTTTATGACAACACAACACACCAATTAACCTCAACTTAAATACGTTCTCTTACACTGTAAAACCCAACAGTCAACTTTATCAAATGAAATGAGTTAACTAAAATTTTACTCATTTGAAAAGAGTTTTGAACTCACAGTTGAACATTCATTCATTTTCTTTTTGGCTTAGTCCCTTTATTAATCCGGGGTCGCCACATCGGTATGAACCGCCAACTTATCCAGCACATTTTTATGCAGCGAATGCCCTTTCAGCCGAAACCCATCTCTGGGAAACATCCACACACTCTCATTCACACACATACACTATGGACAATTTAGCCTATACCCAGTACACCTGTACCGCATATCTGGACTATATTTGGACTTGTGGGGGATACCGGAGCCCCCAAATTCTACACAGAAACGCCAACTGACCCAGCCGAGGCTCGAACCAGCAACCTTCTTGCTGAGAGGCGACAGCACTACCTACTGCGCTACTGCGCCTCCCAGTGTTGAAGGTAATGAGTTAACTAAATACCTCACTACTTCAACTTAAATGGAGTGAGTTCACAGTACTCATATATCTCATATATATAAATTATTTAACTCAAATGGTTTGTAGCAATCGGTTTCCTTAAATGGTTTGAGTTGCCTTAACTTATTAATTTTTACAGTACTCAGTTGGTTTGAGTTCTCCATTTATTGGGTTTTACTGTGCTCAAATTGCTTCATTTACTCAAATAGATTAGGTTCACAGTACTCATTAGGATTAACTAGAATTGAACTTCAAAGGTTTGTTGCAATCGGTTTCCTCAAATGGTTTGAGTTACCTTAACTTTTTGGGTTTTGCAGTGTAATGCTGCTGTACACACTCGGAAATTAAGGTACAAAATCTGTCACTGGGGTGGTACCTTTTCAAAAAGTACACTTTGGTCCCACACAGGTGGGCATTGGTACATTTAGGGTACACTTTTGTAGCTTTAAGAATCACTTTTGTACCTTTAAGGGACTATGAAACACATTTGTATTTTTTAGGTAATAATATGTACCTGTTAGAATCAAATTTGTACCTTTTGAAAACTTTTCTGAAAGGCGATGTAAGAATTCCTTAATTTTAATGACCTGGTGGCCATTATGTGAATTGCTAGTGCACATTTCACAGTTACACTAGAGACCATTGACCAAAACAGTAGATTAACAAACAGGAGACTAAATGTGACTCATAATATTATTATGACAAACATTTAAAGTTACAATGTTAGGAATAAAACTATAAACTATATTTGAGAATGCATACTAGATTTGAGAAACAAGTGTCTGATAGAGTGTTAGCTTTTTCTAGCCAGCTTAGCTGTTAGTTAAATGTGGTGGACGAAGTAGCTACATAAAGTAAAGAAGTTGTGTTGTCACACTTTAGTTTTAACATCATCATGCTTTTGTGTTGAGTTAGTGTTGTGCTGGGAGACAGTTTGTTTAAATAGGTGGACTTCAAGCTAAGTGTTAAGCTAAGCTAATTGTTGCGTGCTGTTAGAGCAGGGGAAAGGCCCTCACGAATCACATCTTTTTGATTTTTCTGGATTTTCCTACAATACAAAGGTGTAATGGTGTAATCCCCCCTAACCCTTGTTGTAATCTTAAACTTGACATTACTGTAAACATATCAATCAAATCTGAGTGGTTGTTTGGAATATTTCTTCAGGATCAACAAAGTGAAATCACATTCACCATGGTGGCCTATAGTCAAAAAATATATATGACAGATCGTAGATGTAATAACTTTAAATCAAGAAAATCCTCTTTTATTCTCAACTGTTGTCTACTCTTTCTCTCTAACACTAGAAAGGAGCAGGGGCGGAAACATTCCCAATCTAGGATGTGGAATCTGGACTGTGCTTGTTTTCCAGCCACTGGCAGAAATAGCTGTTCTGTGGGTTTAACAAAGGCCCTCATTACTAAAGCCCGAGTATGAGCTCTCTCTCTCTTACTCTCTCTCACTCACACACATACACACACACACACACACACACACACACACACACACACACACACACACACACACACATACACACACACACACACACACACACACACACACACACACAAACACAAACACACACACACTCAAATTCATCTAATTACTTTAACATCAGTCATGTATAGCAGTCGTATTTTGAGGTTCGGATGAGATGCTGTAAATAACTTGACCCATCAGAAGTACGTCCACGAACGGTCACGATAAACCAGACAAATCCACAAAAGCATAGAGCGAAGAACACAAATATAACTAACATGCTGAGTTTTCCTTTCGTAGTGTCACAAATCAAAATAAAACCAGGCCTGACAAGACTGCAGCATGAGGGAAAATGTGGCCAGAGGGATTTCTTTTAATAAACGAGATGGGTTTTAAGAAAGGCAGCATGTGTGCGGATGTGCAAATATCTCTGGTGAGCTAGCGTGCTAGTCTGGGAATGGTTGGTGAAGTGAAGACTCCTCCTCTTTTTAATGGAGACACAATGACCACATTGAGGACAGAATGAGATGAGTGTGACGATTGTGTCTGCTAATAACTGATTGTGTGAGACTGTGTATGTGTGTGTCCTTCACCCCTAACCCCAAAACCCAGGCTAACTGCCCCACTTCCTCCTGCCACTCTTAGTTCATCACACAAATGTAAATGTACAGATTCTATGTAACTGAAGAACACAATATTATTTACATATGTGTGTGGGAAAAAAAGTACTTGAAACTATTTAAACTGCTCACATTCCTCTGAAAAAAAAAAACAATAATAAAGAAACCTTAATAAACACACCATTGCTCCACCCCAAACAGCTAAAGTAAATGCTTAACAGAAAGTCCAATATTAAAGAACAGGAGATTTTGTTAGATTTCCTGTTAGATTTTTCGTCAAATCAATAATATCCTATAAAATAATAAAAATGTATCAAATCTAACATATAATTTCATTCATTCATTTTCCTTTCAGTTCAGTACCTTTATTAATCAGGGGTTGCCACTGTGGAATGAACCACCAACTAATCCAAAATATGCTTTATACAGCAGATGCCCTTCCAGCTGCAACCCAACACATACACTACAGCCATTTAGCTTACTCAATTCACCTACAGTATAGTGCATGTCTTTGGACAGTGTGGGAAACCAGAGCACTTGGAGGAAACCCACACAAACTCGGGGGAAAACGTGCAAACTTCACACAGAAATGCCAACTAAATCAGCTGGGGCTCAAACCAGCGACCTTCTTGCTGTGTGACGATCGTGCCACCCACTGCGCCACCGTGATGTCCTAGCATATAAATATACACATTTACAATTATTATTATTAATTTTATTTAATTGATAATTAAATTAATAAATTATGATTAAATGTTGGGCCTGTTAATAATCTGTTAAAAGAATAATTAAAACCAAAAGCAATAACGGCTGCTGCTTACAAAAAGATATATATTTTAAATCTTGTACTCTTGAAAGACTGTGGGTGCCCTGTTCCATCACTGTTTGTTTAGTCTATTTCAAAGAGAACCGATCACATCAGTTGTGTTTCCTCTATTCACGGTTGCCTCACGCAAGTAAACGGGAGCATGCACGCTTTTTAACAATCGCACGCATTACATCCGTGAGTGCGAGTGATCATCCTCACATTCGGTATTCACCTGCTTTCTTGGTCTTGCCCAAAGTTTTATTTTTTTATTTATTTTTTTGTCATACTGCTCTCGATTCTAAGATCACATTTGCACCAGTGTCTGTCTAACCCGCCACAGCAGAAATGCAGAAATCTACCCGCATTTGGTGGGTGTTAATGTCAAGCCCTGTATATGTACAGTAGTCACATCTGTAACTAATTCACCATCATCCCTTTAGAGCTAGTATTTGAATGACTCTCTTGCATACTATCTAAAGTGATGACAAAACAGCTGATTTTGCCGACATTTTAAGATTATAAGGCTGAACAACATGAAATGCCATCAGTCTACAGAGATATCTCCCAGTATTTCTCTGTTGCAATAGGGATATCACAATAATTAACCCCGAAAAAGTCAAAGCAGCACAAACACTACCAGATTTCTGTTGTGTTGTGTATATACAGTTGAAGTCAGAATTATTAGCCCCTCTTTGATTATTTTTTGTTTGTTTGTTTTTAAATATTTCCCAAATGTTATTTAACAGAGCAAGGAATTTTTCACAGTATTTCTGATAATATTCTTCTGGAGAAAGACCTATTTGTTTTGTTTAGACTAGAATTAAAGCATTTTTTTTATTTTTTTTTTAAAAACATTTTAAGATCTAAATTTATTAGCCCCTTTAAGCTATATATATATATATATATATATATATATATATATATATATATATATATATATATATATATATATATATATATATTTTTTTTTTTTTTTTTTTTTTTTTTCAATAGTGTATAGAACAAACCATCATTATACAATAACTTGCCTAATTAGCCTAACCTGCATAGTTAACCTAATTAACCTAGTTTAGCCTTTCAATGTCACTTTAAGCTGTATAGAAGTGTCTTGAAAAATATCTAGTGAAATATTATTTACTGTCAGCATAGCATAGTTATTAGAAATGAGTTATTAAAACTTTTATCTTTAGAAATGTGTTAAATAAAATCTTCTCTCCGTTAAACAGAAATTGGGGAAAAAATAAACAGGGGGCTAATAATACAGGGGGGCTAATAATTCTGACTTCAACTGTATATTCAATGAATATTATTTACCTTCCTTTAGTAGTAATCATATGACATAACACGATAAATATGCAAAGACATCAACACAATAATGCTCTTTCAGGTCTATTTACCTCAAATCAATAAGAGTAGGTCTAGTACAAACAGCTCCACTGACATAGCAGGTAGAGCAAGACAAGCTGTCAGTTGTGTTTTTATCAGTATGCTGTAACATGTCCCAGCTTGTGATCATTTCTCTCAGTTTCAGTTTGGTTCTCCTTGTTTACAAGTCCCCATTGACCTTTAAAACAGGGCATGAAACAACACATGACCCCTGCTCCATACGTAATTACAAGACACTCTTTCAATAATCCACAACTTTTCCATGTTGCGCAACACCTTAAGTAAGGAGGATCATAAACACTAATGTAATCAAACCGACTCTCTGGAAAGGGTGTGTTGTTGCTGTACAGGTGTGCAGTAGCAATGTGCTTCACTTCTTTACTGAATGCAAAAGGTGGGGCACTTTCATGCAAAGCATAGTGGTTAGGGTTAACCTCCCTCAGGAATGAAAGCATTGCACTAATGATGGCTTATGCAATCACAACAGATCATAAAAGATGTCCAGCAGTGAAAAGATCAGAACAGTCTTAAAATCGCTAAGAAACAGCCCTAAAATGAATTGGTTTTGTTCTAATGTTGCCATTACAACTCCTAATGCGACGTTAAAGGACCAACTGAAAGCTTTTAGGGGAAACTGCAAAATCAATAGCACTCCACTCGAATCCAGCTGTGCTATAAACGTATAATTAGAAGAAACAGAGATTCATAGTCAACAACTCTGCACTTAATAGCAAGAGTTTTAGTATCTACAAGTCTATCTCAATTGTTTTGAATGTTTTGCATTCAACCAGCCATTTTGTTTCACATTTCCTCGTGCACTCTGGTTTAGTAATAAAGGCATGCAGAGACAAGATCACTTTGTGCTACAGGCCAGCGCAAACACACATACTACACACACAGACCTCTGCTATTTTCAAATAAAACTAATCATAATTACCATGATCTAATGCTAACCCAAACCTAGAAAATTGAGACATTAAACAATTTCCCTATACCCAGGAACCCGTTTAATTAGGTTTTACCAAACTTAGCACATCTGTGGATATTTGGCAGCTATCCTGTACACAAAATAAGGCTAGATTCAACCAACATTTCATTAGTATGTAGATATGTCAGAACAATTATATTAAAACCAATTTAAATTAAACCATTAATTAAAAATCATCAAATTATTAAACTTCAGTGCTCATGCCAAGGTCATGGGTTCACTTCTGGAGAATACAGGACAGTGTAAGACTGTAGAAACAGCATCAAACTGGGTGAGGCACTGAGTGGAAAAAAAAGGAGAGGAAGCATGAAAAAATAGGACCAATTTAAATCCAGTAATTCTGATTCAGTCACAGAAATCTAATATTGTCAGGCTGACCATGGGAGATTCCAGCATTACCTAATAAATAGACATGCTTGCTGGTTCACCAGACATAGGAAATGAATGGTAAGACCAGTGAGGTTGTGAGTTATTGAGGCAAGTACAGTCATTCTCTAACATTCCCATCAGTCTATTTTAATAGTGTCTGGATACTTAATCAGTTTCCTGTTAAAATAACAACCATGTGCATGACAGAGTGAGTAAATGATAGGAAGATAGAAAGAGAGGGAGAAATCGAGAACCGGGCAAAAAATCCACAAAGACCAGAACCACCTTATACGCAAAGGAGATCACAGCATAGGAGCCAATGAGAAGTATCATCTTACCGATGAATGGAATTGATGCAAGGGAGTCATCCTCAATAGATAGTGGAGGAAGGTTAACATCTGTGCGGCGATGAGAAATAGCACTTTCTGCCTTGGCAGTGGGCTCCGTAGGGTCAGTGGTAAAGAGTAGAGGGTCACTGGAGTCAAGTGCTATTGCATAATGTGGGTGTCGAAGGGCGTTTGCACCTCGTCGGCCGGTAGGTGGTTTCTGCCTCAGAACCACTTCCTGTGTCTGGGCTTCACTTGTCGCTTCCCCTGCCCCTCTGTCATGATTAGTGGGTCGGTAAGTTCTGTCTTGTCCTTCAGATGGTGTGGAAATCGTAGTTGAAGAGGAAGTGGTTGGTGGGGCTGGGGAAGCAGTGGCTGAGGGTGGATGCCCCTCTGGGGGACTGGTTTTGGATGTTGGAGTCCAAAGGTGTGGACCTGTGTAAGAGGGATCTCTAAATGACTGGGCCTGCTGCAAGATACGGCCAGTCTTCCTATTGAATGAGGGACTGTAGCTACGATAGCCAATCGGCTCCTCATCTAGACTCTGGCAAGAAGGCAAACGTCTTGCCATTGGAGCTGCCTGCTGAGGTTGTGGGATTTGAGATGAGTGTTGGTGTGTTGCATGTGTGAGATTCTGGTGGTGTTGGGGTGTGTGGTGCATTTGGTGGGGTGACTCTATATGTTGGCCGAAATGCCCAGCATGTCTTGCATAGACTTCAGTCCTATTTGGAGGTTGTTGAACCCAAGCAGATCTTTCAACCCTTGGTGAGAGTATCCCCACAGCTCTGTCGAGATTTTCCAGTGAGCGTCCCGAGTGTCCGTACCGGCTTGCTAGAAGATTTTCGGAGGACTTTCGCCCATAGGCCACCACAGATGGGTGCTGACCATACATATGCTCACCCCGCCAGTCTCCATGGTTCCAGTAAGGATCAGCATATGCTGCAGCACTCTGCTGAAGCAGCAGCAACGTGTCTTGCGATGCACTATGGGGAAAACCTGCTTGTTGAGAACGCCTGGCCTTCCCAAGCTCTCCCAGACGGTCTTGTGAGAAACTCCTGTGGCGTGGGTGCATTGAGCGAGAACTAGATCGCTCCCGCTCTCGTTCTCGTTCTCGCTCACGGCCTGGGACCTGGCTGTAGTACCAGTTGGAAAGGGCTTGTTGGGTTCGTTCGTTGCGGCTGGATGAAGGTGTTGATGTTGGCTGAGAAGGGCTGGCCCAAGGTGGGCTTCCCTTACGACCTCCAGTGTGCCCCATGGCAGTACCCATGTTGTGATTGGCAAGATGACCATGATGCAAAGGGCTCATCATTCCTCCTGAGGAGGAAGAAGATGAGTATGAGCGTCCTCTCATTTGTCCAGTTGGCTGCTGTCCTCTGTCAGTCATTCCATACTGGATCTCCTCTGTTCGGTGTGCAGGGCTACTGTGACCAACACCACCCGGCTCACAATTCCTGCCCTCGGCTGCCCAGACAACATTGCTGGAGGCCACAGTCCGGTTGTCAAGGGGTGGAGAGGGACCAGCAGAAGAGCCGGGCCAGCGGCTCCAGTTGTCCAGCTGGTTTTGCCCCATGTGTGAAGAAGCTGGAGGAGGGCAGGGGCTGAACCCTGCAGGAGACTGTGATTTTGTACGAGGAGGGTAGAGAACAGGGGGTGGTGGAGGAAGATTTTGGGCCTTTCCTGTATATGGATTGTTCCCCCTTAGGTAGGCATCATGGGAATATGCCTGAAAAACAGAAATACAACTGCTTTTAATGTTTGATTCTAGAGCAATGTAAACGGAGACTGAGGGTGATGAGAGTGAAAAAGTTCCTAATATTTGAAGTTAGAGGAGGGAGGGTGCATTGGGAAGACATTTGCATTACATACTGGCAATTACACCATCATTATATACCAATAATGCAGTCATAAGTGAGATTCAGTTATATTAGTTCATAAAACCTTTTAAAAACAAACACATCTTAAATACCAAACACATCTTACCTTGGTTTTAAGTTTGTTTGGCAACAAAATAAATGCTAATACTTGCTAATATTACAATGATTTCAATCAACCACTTTGGGAATTGTCTGAAAAACATATTTTTTATTAGATCCTAGTAAAAATGTTGTTATTATTGAATTTGATTTACATACTGTTAGTCAAGAGTTCATCTGATCTTATTTTTACTTGTTTAAGTTTGCTAACCTTATTTTAATTTTGACATTTAGTATAGATTCACAGTTAATAGAAGTAGAATACAAGACTGGAAGAATAATTACCCTCATTAGATTCTTGCTTTAATAAAGCATATACTACTAAAAACAACTTTCTGCAGTATACATTTAACAAACAAGCACAGCTTTAAAACCTCAACAACTTGCACAACTGGTGCAGAGACTACTGTTTGACGACAGACAGGATGTCAAACTGACCAAAGGCACCAGCCCTCTATCAACATAAACCTCAAAACACACTGACAAACACTGGACACGTGCTACATTAAGAATTTATGGACAAAACAGATTCATGCTTGCCGGATTAAATGCTGTCCGACTACAAACAAGCAGATCAACTAACACAGCATAGCACATGCAGTCTCCAAATACATGCAAATACAACCAGCACAGAGAACAGAACCCCAATAATCTAAAGTAAAATTCCCTAAAGTTCAGATCTGTCTTTTTGTCTCAATACTGCACTCAAATTTACCTTTTATGTCCGACTTGTGCTTTCTTGAGTTCATGTTTCGTTGTCATGTCTCTGTTATTCACGGTATCTCTTTTTCTCTTTCTGCCTATGGTGAGCCCTACCCAACCCAATGCTCTTGAACTCCCTCTTTCTCTCTCTCTCTCTCTCTCTCTCTCTCTCTCTCTCTCGTCTCTCCACCCTGTGGGAGGGGCCAAATAACTGATGATGTCATCTCTGGAATGTAGCTGATGCGGGTGAAGGAGGGGTGTGTAGTGAGACAGAGAGAATGATAGAAAGACACGGGGGAAGAATAGAAGAGTAAGAAGAACTGGGGTCTCTTAGGAAGCTCTATGGTTAATTCGCCTATGATGACTGCCATACTACAGAGATTCATTCAAGTGTATATAAGACATGGAGCTATATGTGCTACACATGTCTGTAAAGGTTTTTCTTCCTCTCTGGTAAGCTAAATGTTCAATCATGTGGGCAATATGTGCCCTGAAGAAAGCATGGGAGTGGGAATGTTCAGAAGAATGCATATGTTTGTGTGTGTTAATCATATGACCGTCTGCATGCTTACGAAATTACAGATTCTGCATTTTTTTGCTTGGAAATAGTTCAAAGATACTGCTGAAGCAACCTACTGAGTCACACATTGCTCTATAATGACTGCAAGAAGATATTAGTGTTGTCAAACCTCGGTTTCTGTGTCTGTTTTAAAGTCTGGGAAATTTGTACACGCCTCTGAGGGTGTGTGTGGGCTTACTAACATTACTTCAGAAATAACACGACACTTGAACTAGACAAAATTTTACTCTAAAAATGTCAACATCAACAAACATTTTGTTAAATATGATTTCCCCACCTCCAACCACTGAAAAAAATGATGTCTGCAAAAATGTTGCAAACAATTTATGTGTTGAATTTAAACAAACAATACAATTTTGTAACAACTGTAGTTCAATTTAATTTGTTTATTCTCAGCCCAAATAAATTGTTTTCAACCACTTAACTTAAAAAAAATTGTAAATCCAAGAAATCATCTGTGAATCAGCGTGTTTTACAGTAAAAGTACCATAAAACAAAGCCTAAAATATGTAACAATTACTTAAAGTAGAAAGAAATATGACAATTTATTAAATATAATAATATGATAAATTACATTAGAATTAATTTATGTGTCCTTTAAACAAGAAAAAGAAAATATTACCATCATTATTAGTAGAAAACTAAAGTTTAAATTCTAGTGCTCATTATTAACTAGTATTATACCTGGCTATTATTAAGATATTGGCTGTTTATTAGTACTTATAAACTACATATTCAGCATGATCTCATTCTATATCTCTAACCTGACCAAATACCTAAACCCAACTTCTACCTTAATAACTATTAATACCTTAATAACTAAAATACTATTAATAATTAACTATAATAAAGTCCTAGTTAATGGTTTTATAACAGTGAGATTTGTAACTAAATAAAGTGTGACCGAAATATGAAAAGCTGTACAATATAAATAAATTTTTTTTTATTGGAATTTGTGTACATTTGGTTTCTTGTTGTTGCTATCCCGCCAGTATTTTTCCCTCCCGGTAAGTTGTGTTTTGGCTTTGTTCGTTGTCACTGTAGGAATATTGTTTATACACGATTTGAAGCAGTAGGGGTTGTATTCCACACCTTTTTTATTGTATATATTTTCTCGGTTTTATATATATAGAAAGTTAGGTGTATTATTGTATTTTTATTTCTGTTATTTTCTTTGTGAGGTGTAGGTTGATTTATTGTGGGTGTTTAGGTAGAGTGTACTTTTTGTTTATTATTTTTTGTGGGTCCCCTCCAAGGTATAGGCTTCACGTTTTGCATGTTTATAAACATATGTTTTACCAAATTTTATTAATAATGTTTTCATTATTAAATTTTATTTATATACTATTAGTCAAAGTTTATCTCATCTTACTTTTATTTGTTAACCTTATCTTAATTTAGAATAGATTCATATTTAACAGAAGAGGAATACAACACAAGTGTTTAGGTAGAGTGGGTCCTCTCTGAGGTATAGGCTTGGGTGTTTGAAAAAAAAAAGAAAACCATAAAAAGTCCTAAACCCTACTGGCCAAAATTAAGGAGAACGTATTTATTAATTGGTTGATTGTTTGTGAACTAGATAGATATTAACTAAGGAAAAAAATGAATAAGCAGTAAGTCACCTTAAGAAATGAACTTCAAAACTATGTAAATTACATTGACATGAATGTCATCAATGTTTTTTTAATGATTACACAAGGAGGACGCTATTGATGAAATGTAATCTGTAGGCCAGTATGAATGAACTATAATCCTCAGTGTTGGGGGTGACGCGTTATAGGTAATGTATTATAAGTAGCGTGCGTTACTTAATATTATTACTGTTCCAAAGTGACAAGTAATATAATGCATTACTTTTAAAAATAAGTAATATTATTTGAGTTACTTTTTTTTTAAAATTTAACGCAAGTTACTTTTTACCTAACCTAATTGGTTTTAAAAACATATTACAAAACAAAAATGACCTAAGTAAGGGTGAATCACACACTCAATGAGCGAGCATGCTGCAAGGGAACAGTCGGCAGGTCTCCGTTTTCACAGCAGATGAGTGTACTGTTCTAGTAACTGAATATCTCACGACATGTAGGAGTATGCGGTATGTTAGTACTTACTGAAGGTGCAAGCCGTTTCACGACAACTCTGTTCAATTTAACAAACTGGCTTAGAAGATCCGGTTAAATCAAACGATTCATTTGCAAATGGCCCGTCATCACTATAGACCTTACAGGCAGTCAGAATGGCAGGCTGGAGACTTACATTTTTGCAATGTATTCTTGTTATTTTGAACTCATCGAAGAAAAGAACTGGATTGTTGTTAAGTGATAGATTATGTGTGAGTAAAACTCTTGACAACTGCAAGAAACTTGACAAAAAAAAAAAAACTGGATGCGATGCACTACACCTGCACCCCACCTCTAGCTAAACAACAAATGATTGACATCAGTTCTCCAGGTAAAACAATTAATTAGACTAAACTAAAATAAAGGGTTATTGCTTTTATTGTTGAGGAGATGCAGCCACTGTCTAACGTTACGGTACACTCTCAGAAATAAAGGTACATGAGCTGTCACTGGGGTGGTACCTTTTCAAAAGGTACAAATTTGTACCTAAAAGGTCCATACTAATACCACAAGGGTACATATTAGTACCTGATAAGTACAAAATTCTTCCTCTTAAAATTTTTAGGTACTAATATATACTTTTGAGGTACCAATATGGACCCTTTGGGTACAAATTTGTACCTTTTAAAAAGGTGCCACCTCAGTGATAGCTCACGTACCTTTATTTCAGAGAGTGTAGAAATGGTTATGTTTGTAACATAGTACATTATTTTCTCTTTTGGGAAATGATTTACGCATCTGTTAAGGCCACGTGAAGCAATTTATTCAATGTATAAAGCTCAAAGATTTATTTTGATTTGGGGATGTTTTTATCGTCGTAATGTTCATTTTGTTATTAAACATTTTAAAGGTTTAAAATCAGTTTTTGCTTTAACAGAAATGATTTCATGTTAGTCCTCTATAGGCTTTATTGCAGTCTTTATCTCAATGGACAGAGGATTTACTTAACTAATAACACAAAACATTCAAAAGTAGCAAGCGCATTACATTACAAGCTTTCTTTAATCTGTATATACAGCATGTAAAGCTCTGGGCTCAGAAAGTTCTCAAAATATAATTTTATCCTACATTGTTTAAGGTAAATGAAGCTGTAGGATATATACAGTAGGTGGTTGTTAAATTCAGAACTTCTCTACAAAAAAGTGAAAAAACACCTGCAGGTTCTAAAAGAGATCAAACCTTAGCCAGGTAAGGAAAAGTAACGCAAAAGTAACTCAAATGTAATAAAACGCATTACTTTACATAACCAAGTAATGGAATTAGTTACTTTTTTGGGGGAGTAACTCAATTTTGTAATGTACTACTTTCAAAATAACTCTCCCCAACACTGATAATCCTATTGAATATGGAAAAATGCTTTTGCTTTCTAAAATAATGTACTAAGGACACATAAATTGATAAGCATCATACATTATGATACAAGATAACATAAGTGTAGAAAAATTTAAGCACTATGTTTTTTTTATATATATATGCCTTTGTTTACATAATGGTTCATAAGCTCTGATTAAGTCAGTCAAGGTCACACAGAGTGGTTTTGAAATGGTATACAAACTATGACATTTGCATTTGAAAGACAGAACCCAAAGGTGTGGCAAAAATTCTCAAACGTACACTTACCAGCTGAAGCACGTCCTCATCCTTTGGCATAATGGAGAGCTCCAGTACACTCTCACTGCAAACAGAAGAGAAACCCAGACAGCATAAGATTCAATGGGATATTGCACTATGTACAGCAATAAACTCCCCATTAGATCATTTGAGTTGCTACTTGGGCTGAAGTCAAAGCCACCCCTTTACATTGGGGTCAGTGGTAACCTTTCTAAGTAATGCGCATAATCATCCAGACAGCAAACGCTGCCTGAGGTCACACTGTTACGTAAAACATATGTCAGAAATTCCACTTGAACAAGACTCATGTGCAAACGTTTAGTTCTGTTCTGCTTCTTCAACTACTAACTAAACAACGTTGTAGATAAGACGTCTTGATCTGCATAGACTTCGTAGGTTACTTTTGGTTCAAGTAGAAAATATCATGCAGCTAATTTTGTGACTTCAAGAACTCACCTGTTCTGAATCAGTGCAATGACCTGCGAGTACGTCTTACCCAGCACGCTCTCCCCATTCACTTTAACCAGCCTGTCTCCTGTAAAGACACACACAATTGACAAACATTTAGAAAAGAGTCTCCCAAGTTTTATCTAGTGTGAACTTTAATTTGAGACTTTAAATTTGACACTACATTACAAAATGTATCAGCATCAATAAGTGTTTTCTCCAATATAATATTTGCCTTGTTTAACAGTATAAAATGCCATAAAATTAAAAAATGGACCGTTGCTTCAAGTAGAAAAAGTATGATGATATTAAGTGAAGTTTCACAAACTAATTTCGAAAGAAGCACGTGATATGATTGAAAGCAGCTGGTCTCTCATTAAGAATCATTAGTAAGCCAATCAGATTATTCTAAACTCACTATAAATAGCCCGTCTAGCATTACTCCCTTATCCCTCATCCACCCCATCTCCACCTCTTCCTCCTATACCAGGGGAAGCTTTCCACAACGACCAGACTCAGGGTTCTCTATGGGACAAGATGCCAAACCTGCTATTATTATCAAGCAATACCTCAAAGTATAAACTCTTGAAATATATTAATATAATAAATTACATAAAGAGCTACTGATGTAACAAGCGTCAAATCCAGTTCCAGGAGAGCCGCAGCTTTGCACAGATCAAACTAATTGAGTCCTTCAGGCGTGTTTGAAACCTACAAGTAATTGTGTTGAAGTAGTATTGGAATTAAACTTTTCTGAGCTGCGGCCCTCTGGGAACTGGATTTGACACCTGTGCATTAAACTAAAACTAAGACAAGATCAGTAAATATATTGAAAGATGCATGGAGCACCCCACACTTTGAGCTAGACTTTATTGTAGAGATGTAGGGATGAAAGATATGGTGAGGGAACAGTGGGATGAAGGGAAAGGATGATGCCCAGAGACTCAAGCCGCCTTTTCACTGCACACGGCAAACAATAAGCGGTAGACTGGAAGTTATTCATTTCCAATTGAGGGTAGTCCGGGAGCTGCATGGAGTAGTTCCGATCATCTTCGTATGCGGGAAAATTCAGATCCAATTTAAGCTGCGGATACGTTAAAATATTTGAACTCCTGCAACTAGACCATATGCAACAGGCCAACCGGATGTGATATATTCTAGTGTTGTCTAAGCAGGTCTGTGTGCGGGAGATAAGAAAATAATAGTTTTTTTCATTTTCGCTTTTTGAATCAGAAAAAGTCTATATTAAAAAAAACATTTATGTTCATTAATGAGTGATAAAAAATAAATATATTTTATGTTGTCTCCATATTCACTCCAAAATTTTTAGCAGTCAAAGAGTTTCGAGAGTTCATTCATTCATTCATTCAACCATGATGAATGCTCCTGTAATTTGCACTCCTTTATTTCGGACTCACGAGAATCAGCTTCTCTCCCATGGTGCATGACAAAACAGAAAATTCTGTGCGACTGCCACAAGGGGGTGTATTCTGTCAGTCGTGTCTGAATAATGTGCAGTGGAAAGGCAATTTCAGAGTGGGGGTACTGTCTCTGTAATATTTTGGTAGAGTGACTGGACCCCCCCCCCCCCTGATTTAACCCAGGAGGAAAGAGAGGGTTATAGGATAGTTAATGGAAAGCAAAGAAGTAAGAGGAAGGGATGGTAGGTTTGAAAAAAACGAGAAAAACAGTGATAAAGGGCTGGTTAGCATTAAATAAGTTTAAGGGAGTAGGTGATGGTTAAGGAGACAAAGTGAGGGGTGGTCCCGCTGCCAAACCTTTGCTAACAAGTTAAATCCATTTAAGTTTACATTTAACACAATGCCTCAACAACAACAAAAAAGAAGTTGTCTTGATCCGCATAAACTTCTTAGATTAGTTTTGGCTCAGGTAAAAAACTTCATGCAACAAACAACGCCATCAATAAAACTTAAAAGCTCAGACTAACTTCAGTATAATAGAAAAGACTCTTGAAACTGCTTAAAAATAGCATATTGACCTTATTCTTTTTATACGAGCTGCCATAGCCATTGGAAACTTTTTGGCTCGAGACTTCAGGTCTCATTCACTTCCATTGATTTATGTAAAAACAGCTGGTTATGCTTTTTGATGTTGCTAACCAATATGTTCTTTTTACATTATTTTACTTTTTATGTATACTCATGAACACAATTGTTTGTAGAGAAAGTAGTTTGACCAATTTGCTGTTTATTATTCCTAGTCATTTCTCCCATAGGCAACTGAATCGGAAGTTCTAAAACAATCGCAAAAACAATCCCACTTCCACATCGCAGAATAAGGTCAATACTTTACCGCTCAAAAAACAATGTTTTTTGTTAAAAAAATGAACACTTTTATTTGTTAAATACATATTAAATCAATCAAAACTAACCCTAAAACACTATTCTTATATCAACAATGTTATTTCGAGCTTTATTAGATAGAAAAAACTCTCTTTTTGGGCATAAATTCATGTTTTTTGTTCAATCTATCTTATATGTGTTAAGTTAACTTCCTCAATCAATTTGTGTTTGGACAACATGAAGAATTGTGTGGAACCCAGCATATTTTACAGTGTATATTTCACAATTTTGGGCGACACAGAGCCGCAGTGGTTAGGTTGCTGGTTCAAGTCCCTGCTGGATCTGTTGGCCTTTCTGTGTGGAGTTTGTATGTTCTCCCCGTGTTGGCGTGGGTTTCCTCTGGGTGCTCCGGTTTCCCCCATTGTCTTAAGACTTGCGCTATAGGTGAATTAATTCCACTAAATTGGCGGTAGTGTGTGTGAGTGTGTGTGTGTGTGTATGGGTGTGTCCCATTACTGGGTTGCAACTGGAAGGTGGAAACATATGCTGGATAAGTTGGCGGTTCATTCCGCTGAGGCTACCCCTTATGAATAAAGAGACTAAGCCGAAGTAAAATGAATGAATGAATTTCACAATTTTAACGTCATTTTTATCGAAAAGACACAGCATTGGTGTATGTAAGAAACAATATTTAAGCAAACAACAATTGCTTCTGAAGGATTGTATGGATCAGTGTGTAATTGGAGTATTTGCAATCAATTTACTGGCAATAATTAGTGTCTCGAGATTTCTTTTTAAAGCCTACATACTTTTCAAAGACACAGCAACGGCAGTCAGTTTGAATAATCAAGATCAAGTAGACTCATTCCATATGTTCAGTCTGTTTTTCTAAGATGTTGGGTTCATTTCCAGGTTAAGTTAAAGGATCAAATCAATCAGCGGCAGTCTATCTGAGGAGTCAGTGGAAGCTCTCATCTAATCATAACCAGTAATATTAAAACACATCCATCAGCAGTAGTGTTGCATTCATTGCTTGTGCTGTCATCAGTTTGTAAGGGCATCTCAAAAAAACTGGATATACACAGAACTGAATCATACACATAGATCAAGATGCCCCATTCAATGTCTGTCAAGTAAAAATTTTGGCTAATCTGAGCTCCATGGAACACATTTGATTCATTTGGTTGAATTCATAACATAAAACACCATAAAAAAACAAAAAACATAATAAAAAAAAGTCTTCCAATGTCATGTGGATCAACAGATTATAATGTGACTCACATGGTCTATTTTAATTCTTTTTGGAAAAGGCAAAAATACAAAAACACTCCTAAAGTACTCCTATATATATTTCTAGAGAATGTAAAATACTTTTTTTTTTTGCAGTTTTTGTTTTTACAAATCCACCAGAGGCCACTGTCGACTGACTGATTGACTGACCGATTCCCCTGCCCATCTCCTTTCCTAAACCCAACCGTAGTGTTTTCAAAAGCAATCTAGAAAAAAAAAACTTTCGGCTACCTGATTTTTTACCACGTTTTCAGATCTTATCATATTCTCATCGTGTTTTTTACTTGTTAATTTTGTTGTTTTTAGGGATGCACGATATATCGGCAGCCATATCGTTATCCCCGATAAATGCTATTTTTAAGATTATTGTTATCGATCCGATGTCTAAATTAGGCCGATATCGTTAAGCCGATAAATTACGGTATTGTACAGATCTGTCTGCTACGCACGCGTGGGCGGAACTTGTTTAGACTTGTTCAGTGCACTTTAATGGATCTCTCCTCACATTGTTTATTCCTCTAAAGTCCGTCCTTTCTTCATGTGGTATTGCTGTGCATTAATAACTCAGTAAGTAACCATGTTCCTTATCATTGTAGATGTGTTTGACTGAGTGTTATTGTGTATTTGTTTTAAATCTCCTCAGGAAAAAATATTACATGTGTAAACATTTCCTGCTCTGTTTTTTGTTATGTTAGAGATAGCAGGGAAGATACACTTATTCAGGGCCGAATAATATTAGTTTCGGGGTTTACTCCCTTCTCTTTTTGTTGCAACTGATGAATGAAAGAGGACACATGTAGTTTGGCCCAATTATTCATCACTCTCCGTGTCTTACAACAAAATCAGTGACCAAAGAGGGAATATCACTGAAAATAGTCTCCTTGCGAAAAAAAATCTGCTCCTCTTTTCTGTCTCTCTCCCTCTCCGCTTCACACTGCAGCCCTGCCCCTTAAAGGACCCGCACATTTTACAACACATATGAACATAACAGTTGTTTGTAATCTAATATGATTATTTGTTATGTATTGTATATATATATATTGTATTCAGTTTGATCGGAATATTGATATTGATTATAATGAGCGCGCGTGAGAGCCGTCACCGCACACACACACACACACACACACACACACACACACACACACACACACACACACACACACACACACACGCACACACACACACACACACACACACACGCCATCTTTATATTATGCTCAGTGTTTGTCATAAACTCATCTGAGCTCAATGATCAGGTGTTGAATCAAAATTTGACTCTGAGGGCAAATCTGTGTCCGCAGTTGAGTGAAACTCACAGCGGTTTATCATAAACTTTTCATCGATCATTTGTCCCGCAATTGACAGCAAGAACGAACAGAGAAGCGTTGTCAGGTCGACAAACAGCAGCTACATGTGTTCAAAAGTATCTAAAACGCCAAATAGGATGAATCTATGCCACATTTTAAAGTAATACTCTCTGTATTGAGCTTTTCGCTTGTACGGTGACTCTGAACTGTCAAAACACCTCTAAAAAGGCTTTTTCAGACATGACATATTTGTTCATATGTACTTAACTGTAACAGGTTTTATTCAAGAACATTTGAGCTGGATTTAGTCCTTATTTAAAATATATTTAATTTGCTTGTTGATTAAATCCCATTTTGTTAATTAACCTATTATTTTTATGCAACAGTCAAGTTGCATGAAAATTTGCAATGAAGAAAAGGAAATGATTTATTTTTTGCATGCTGATTTATGTGTAATTGTGAATATAGGGCTATATAATCACCTTGCTATGTTTAAATTTTTTTTGCTTTTTTGCTTAGAGTATAGATTATTCCATTCATAAGAGCAGTTCAATCTTTTTAAGTTTGCTGTATAAAAATATAACATTTTGAAATATTTATAATTATCGGCAATTTATAATTATTGGCCCTTAAGTCTGAAGCGTTATCCGTTATCGGCCAAAAAATCTATAACGGTGCATCCCTATCTGCTTTCGCTGGACTCGAACCCCACCGCCACGGTCAACCCCTAACTGTGTCTCAAGTCATATGTTGGGGGTGTCATACCGCACCGCAGCATTCATTTTAAAAAACCAAATGCAGCCATACGTACTTCTGGCTACATAATTACAACATGGGCTCATTCTAAAAACGTAGCTCTATATACGTTTCTGGAGATTGAGAATTATGTAGCCAGAGCTACATATGGCTGCATTTAATTTTTTTAAATGAAGGCTACGGGGCAGTATGACCCCGTTCCTTTTTGCCCTTACCAGCTGACTGCTTATCTCCACACTATAGAGGGCTTTCCCGTTGTTACCAGTTTGTCTCATTAGCTTGCCATTTTCATCTGCAGACTTGAGACGCAGTGGAGTTGACCACGACGACGGGGTTCGAGTCTGGTGAGGAATGGTTTCAGAAAGCAGGTAAGACAAAAACAGAATCCAAAAAAAAAATAACAGGGTAAGAATATGGTAATCTGAAAACGTGGTAAAACTCAGACTAGGGCTTTTCTTTTTCTGGATTGCTTTTAAAATTGTTGATTGTGTTTAGGAAAGTGGGTGGGTGGGTCAATCGATACAATTAGTTGGGTTTAGGGAAGGAGGAGGGTGGGTCAGTCGATCGGTCAGTCAGTCAAACAGTCAGTCATCAATGGCCTTTGGTGGGTTTACATGAGAACAGCAGGCGTGAATGGTATCGGATCAGGTTTCGGTACCGGTAGATACTCAAAATCAAATGACTCAGACTCAAGGGCAAAAAAAATGATCGGGACATCCCTACTTTTAAAACACCAAAACCAATATTCACACACAAGCACACATAAAATATAGTGAGCCTCGTTCTGTCATGCTGGGAGTGTTTAGTTGAAAACAAACCATATACCACAACTGAGGATTTTATACCTGTATGTAAACACATCACTCTGCATTACTTTATCTCTCTAATCAAAACTTATTCGGTTCTTGCGGTTGTCAACAGCAGAAATACTCTGGGTTTGGCTGATTTAAGTCAGCTGACATGATAAGCAAACAGGAAGCATGACCGAGTGCGTCATGCCGTATCAGCGGCATCATAGGTCGCATTCCTGTGAATCTGTGACAGCTTTGAAGAAGAACCGCTCCAGCATTGACTTTAGCAGGCAAGTCTGAACAAGAGTTCATGTATGTATGCACGAGTCCACTGTGTTGAGTGTAATCAAAGCAAAAAATCATTAAGCACGCAAAGACATGTACACACAAACAAGCACTGCAAACAAACACGTGTAAACCTAAGAATAAAAAGCATTCCAACAACAGTTACTTGGAATTTCTGTTGAACTGCAGGGTTTTGTGAGCTACGTTCCCGTGTATACCTGGTATTGATTTGTTTTTGACAATCGGATTACAAGCGAAAACACTAAATACTGTAGGTGTAAAAATGGGTCTGGAGCTTGTCCACTGAATGTATTCAAACTTAATGCTTCAACAAAATTGCCAATCAATCACAACTTTGTTAGCTTATATCTATATCTATATAGCTTATATCTATATACAGCTACACTGTAGCTTTGTATGAGTACAGCTGAACCACTGAAGTCACATGGACTGTTTTGACAATGTTTTTGGTTGCTTTTCTGGACTTTGAACATATCTTAATTTGTTTTCTGCAGATGAACAAAGCTCTCAGGGAATAAGTATGACATGAAGGTGTGAGTAACTAATTACAAAATGTTTAATTTTTTATGAACTAATCCTTTAAGTACAATATTTATTATGAAAGAGAACAAAATTAGAATCAATGACTATAAAAACTGACATTGTAAAAGTAAAAACTGTCCCTGCATGGCAATCAATTCCCAGCTGCAAATACAGATGTTTCATAGCTGTACTGTACACACACACATTCTTTTTTTTTTTACCTGTACACAGGCCAGCCAGGTGAGCGGGGCCTTTTTCCCTCACATTCTTCACAAAAATTGTGTCCATGGGCTCCAGACGACTTCGTTGAAGCCCTACAAGATACACACAAACACACAACCCTGTTGAAAACCATAGACCAACAAAACCTGTATAATGACAGAATGAAAAAATTGAGGCTATATAGAAAATATTGGAACCAAAATCAAATTTACTGATCAGATTAGGTGCCAATTAAAATGTATGACGTATAATGAGTATCTGAAATCATGCGACTCTTTGTAAAGGTAATCAGATGTTTTTCAGTTGAAGCTTAAAAGGATCTAAAATCAGGCTAAACAACATGATGATTGATATCAAATAAAAATATAATCATTTTATTTGAGCTTTCTCTAAATATAAATTAATACATTAGTTATTTGTTCAATTATATTTGTGCTTTTAAAATGTCAATGATGTGATTTTAAATCTGTCATTAGCTGTAAATTAAAGCTTGAATTACATTTAATTTTATTCTGTAATCACTACTGATGATATTTTTACAGGTTTAATAATATATATATACTGTATATCTATCCAGACAACACAAAACCAAAAGTGTTCAGAGCTAATAAATGTGTCAGATATGGGATTTTTAAAGATATCTAAAAAAAATCAAAACAGTACAGAGAATTACATAATGGAAACAATAATGTCAAATCAACAATACAATAATTCACAAAACAAATTAAATACACAAAAATGACTATGCAGCATAATTCTCAGTAGTCAGAATGCTTAACATCATTGTACAGCAGCACATTCACTGATGTTTAGACTGGCACTGAGGAATGTGTTTTGCTCATAGTGATGCCAGTATCTCATGATGGCACGATAAAGATGAGGACAGGCAGTATCAGCTTACAAACAGGTTGAGGTAGCAAAGCATGTGCTGATCTAGGAACTGTGGGGCTTATTGTAGCATCAATGTTGGTCTTATTTCATCAGATGATCTGTCATAAGCAGATTTCATTCTCAGCCCTTATAAATCTCTATGATCTGGAGCTCCTGTGTGTGTGCGTTGGATTTTAGATGCTGGATCTAGTAATATAACATTATTCCATTATGGAAAGTGCAAAGAACAATTATTCTCCATTAAATCTGGACATTTATATTCATCTAAGAGTACTTTAAAGTGATAGTCCAACCAAAATAATGAAAATGTACTCAACCTCAAGTGGTTCCAAAGGCTTTCTTTTTCTTCTGTTGAACACAAAAGAATATATTCTAAAAAATCATGGAAACTGGTAGCCATTGATATCCATTCCATAGAAGGAATAAAATGTCCAGGAATTCAGTGACTACCTGATTCCAACATTCTTATAAATATCTTCTTTTGTGTTCAACAGAAGAAACTAACTAAAAATTTGGAACTAATCAAAAGAGAGTAGATGATAATAAATCTAAATTGAATCTCTTTAACGTGAAGTAAATTTACTAGTACTCCAAAATGATAAAGTGTTTGTTAGATATTGAAATAGGGAAACATTTTCATATGAAAAAAAATTTGATGGCATGCGGTTTGTCTCCTATCAATCACACTCTTTTCAGTAGCCCTCTTTAAAGCAGACTGATCTGAATGCAGATGGAGAGCTGTGCATGAATGCAACATTTCTCTAGAGGGCGCCGAAAATCTGTGACAGAGATGTTTATAGCACTAATTTACCTCAGGTCATTCACTGACTGAGAGAAAAATGACAAGCAGAGGATGAGGAAACACAGGAAAACACATGCTCATCAAGTCATGTGGATTTCGGTCGACTCAGATAAGTGACGCTGTCTCTTTAAATGATAAGTAATTTGATGTAATAACTGTAATTGACATGCTATGAATGAGACTTTTCAAAACAAACGTAAATGAGAGACTCACCCTTTCCATTCCCGTTCTCTTCATCCTAACAGGAAACAAAAAGAAGAGAGTTAGACCATTGTGATAAAAGTACACAGCTTTTAAACTTAAATGATTGTATAGTCATTTGCAAAATACAACACAATTAAGTGAGTAATCACCTTTAGTAATAAGTACTATATTAAACATAAAAAATAAAATGACAATGGACTCTTTAAGTGTTTAACTACTGTAAAGGATGCTCAATTAGCAGTTTTACCCCAGATTTTCAGATTTTTACTTGCCCTGCCAAAATTTTTACTGGCCCCACCAAAAATAAAAAAAAATGTATAGCTATTTCTTAGCCACATATTTTAAATAATGTGTCAAAAGCCAAACTTATTTGTATACTTTTTATTCAGCATAGATATTGTTTAAATTCAACTAACAATTAAAAAAGTTACAATTATGATGTAACTAAATGAAAAAAAAAAAAAAAAAAATATATATATATATATATATATATATAAATATATATATATATATATATATATATATATATATATATATATATATATATATATATATAAATATATATATATATATATATATATATATATATATATATACAGTTGAAGTCAGAATTATTAGCCCCCTTCAAATTTTTTTCTTATCTTTTAAATATTTTCCGAATGATGTTTAACAGAGCAAGGAAATTTTCACAGTATGTCTGATAATATTTTTTCTTCTAGAGAAAGTCTTATTTGTTTTTATTTCGGCAAGAATAAAAGCAGTTTTTAATTTTTTAAACACAATTTTAGGGACAAAATTATTAGCCCCTTTAAGCTATATTTTTATAATCTACAGAACAAACCATCATTATACTGTACAATAACTTGCCTAATTACCCTTACCTGCCTAGGTAACCTAGTCAACCCAGATGAGCCTTTAAATGTCACTTTAAGCTGTATAAAAGTGTCTTGAAAAATATCTAGTCAAATATTATGTACTGTCATCATGGCAAAGATAAAATAAATAAGTTATTAGAGATGAGTTATTAAAACTATTATGTTTAGAAATGTGCTGAAAATTTTTTTCTCTCCGTTAAACATAAATTGGGGAAAAAAATCAGGGGGGCTAATAATTCTTACTTCAACTGTATATATATATATATATATATATATATATATATATATATATATATATATATATATTAGGGCTGTGCAATTATTCGAAAATCCGATTTCGATTTTGATTATGGCTTCTAAAGATTATGAAAAACCATTAATCGAGATAAACGATTATTACATCATATACCAAAAGTGCGAAAGACCGCGTGCTTATGTGTGTCAGTATTCGGTCTCATTCGCACACTGAGACGAGCAGAGGAGCGCAGACATCTAAAGTAATCTTAACGTGAGCGCTTTAATGGTCAAATAGGTGTCAAAACGTGGTGATTAGCAATTATTCATATTAACCCTTATTTTCGTAATAAACAAACGAGTTGAGAATCAAAAGACACGTAAAAGAGAAACCATTAAAGTGACAGTGCGAAATGCTGCCGCCTGTTTTATCATTAATCAAACGACGAGAAAATTCCTCTCTGCTCTTGATTGAAGGATTTTTGTAGTTAAAGTGTTTTTCTTAGAGTGAAGATGCTTAAATCACAGTTTGTTTCATATTTTTATTCTATTGTATTTATTTCTCTTTCCTTTGCAGGGTAGAAAATAACTGTATATATACAGTTGTAGTCAGAATTATTAGCCCTCCAGAATATTAATAACCCTTTTCCTCCAATTTCTGTTTAATGGAAAGAACTACATTCGATCTGTTCCAAAGTTCATTTCAGTCGAGCCAATACCACCTTATTCAGGTGATCTGGGAGCGATTGCTTTACATTCACATATGCCAAAAATGAACCGTGCTGACGAGGGGAAATGAGACAAGTTCTGAAACAAACGTCTAGGTGTAAAAGCACCCCAAGCATTGAACTTGCAAAATAAATGAGATTTTACTGTAATAAGTTATAAAAATGTTACAAATGATACTGCATTAGTCAATGAAATTTATGATTTTTAATTTATGGTTTTCAAATATTAACGAATAAATTGAAAATATAACCATGGCAAATGTGATATATACAGTAGGAAAAAGTTTGGATTAAATTGCGTTGATCCCTATCAGCTCACCTAAAACCAAAATGACATCATCACTAACACGGTCCTAGCACTAGAGGTCAGCACTGAAAACAAAATTAAGCACTCTTTTTATCCGATGTTCTTCTATAAGCCACAAAGGCACACAGCAAGCATATATAAACCTCTGCAAGAAAAGCCACAACAACAATAATCTATCCATAGGGCCAGAAATGACAAAGCTTTTAGAATATAAAGACAACAGACACAGTTTAGGTCAAACACACATACACACACAACTTTTACCAACCAACCAGAGGCTCAAATCGCACACACACACACACACGCAGCGCTGATTAGGCAGTTTAAAGTGGGCAGCCCAATGTTTAGTCTGCGCTGACTGGGCTCATTCCTAACAAACTCACACAATACTGAGGCTTTGCCGTCCCGGAGAAAGACAGGCAGACAGGGGGCAAACAGATGGGTACAAAAGTGACCGCAGCTTTAAGATTTATATTCAGCATCCAGCCTACAGATCAAAATGAAAGTCCACGTGGAGCTGCTGGGTGACAGATGGAGAGAGTCATGCAGTCATGTGAGCATGTGGACCGCTAGAAACATTTTGGGCAAGAATTGGTTAGAATACATTGTTCAGGAAGTCCTGGTACAGGCCGGTCCAGCTCAGAGTGACTGCAGTACCAGGCAAACAAAAAAGAAACAGGCCTTTTGACTGAGGAAAGCAAACAGCAGCTGCTCAGAGAAGAGAAGCAATATAGAGCAGTCATAATGGGGCTTTTGTTTGTTAGCATCATGTACGTACACACACACACACACACGTACACACACGTACACACACACACACACACACACACACACACACACTATAGCACACTCTTTATAAAATAACAAAACACCAAATCTCTTCTGCTGAAATACAGTCTAGATACACTGATACTGCTAAACAAAAATCTTTAATGAACAAAAAGTTTAAATAAAGAAAGGAATCTATATACAATTTTATCAATTTTAGTAAATTCAGTTCACCTACATGTATCCCGCATGTCTTTGGGCTGTAGGGGTAACCGAAGCAACTGAAGGAAGCCCACCCATACATGTGGAGAACATGCAAACTCCATCCAGAAATGAGGGAATGGAACCAGCGACTTTCTTACTGTAAGGCAACAGTGAGCCACTATGCCACGGTGCCGCACACTGTAACTTATTTTACTGCCAATTTTGAACAAGTTCTGATTATATGATTAATTGACCCATATGTCATGTGATCAGACGCTATTAGATTTTTTTATATAAACCCTTAATTTTCCCTCTATTTCTAATATGCATTGACAGAATAATACACTGTATCTCTTTTTAAAAAAGTTTTTGCAGAATAATCCTTGTTAGATCAAACAGTCATTACTACTACTAGCTAAGCCTCAGAAATTTTAAGAATAGTTCCACGTTTAAACAAAATGCATCTGACGGATGAGTCTTTCTGTGTTTCAAAAACATGATCAAACCAGAATATTGCTGGAGCCATAATGACAAATAAAAGGTTCTTTGTTAAAAACAAGGATGGTTTTTAAACGCACAAGGCCTTGAGGCTGAATGAGCACAAGAACTGATCCATGCAAATGTCAACCTCACCAAAATATTGAAACCTTGCTTGCTTAGGCTTGTTTTTTTACAGTATTATAAATTTACTCAAAATGTCCCTGTCAAGACTTTCAAACAATTTAATATGAATTTCCAAAATCACCAAGTGGCATTTTCACATCTGTCACATCTGTAACGGAGATGTGTCACATCCATAATGAAGATTTTATCTTCGTAAGTGCAAAAATGCCAAATAAAACAAAATACATAATATCTGTTCTACAGAGAGACAACTCTTATCCTTTTGATGAGTATTATTTCTTTTGGGTTGTGCAGTTTCATTCACAGAATTTCTACAAAGTGTGTTGTATACTGTAAACTGGTTCCTTTGGTTCCTTTTCTGGAATTTAAACATCTTGGGGCCATTGTTGTCTATGAAGGGTCAGAGAACTCTTAGATTTCATCTAAAATATCTTCATTTGTGTTCCCAAGATAAAGGCCTCAGTGGATTGGAGCAACATAAGGGTGAGTAATTAATAGAAGCATTTTCATTTTTGGGTAAACTAACCTCTTAAAGAATTCATTCATTCATTTTCTTGTCGGCTTAGTCGCTTTATTAATCCGGGGTCGCCACAGCGGAATGAATTGCCAACTTATCCAGCAAGTTTTTACGCAGCGGATGCCCTTCCAGCCGCAACCCATCTCTGGGAAACATCCACACGCACATTCACACTCATACACTACGGAAAATTTAGCCTACCCAATTCACCTGTACTGCATGTCTTTGGACTGTGGGGGAAACCGGAGCACCCCGGAGGAAACCCACGCGAAGGAAGGGAGAACATGCAAACTCCACACAGAAACACCAACTGAGCCGAGGTTCGAACCAGCGACCTTCTTGCTGTGAGGCGACAGCACTACCTACTGCGCCACTGCCTCGCCGATGTAAAGAATATATTAAATAATACATTTTAATTTTGGTTTGCCTTTCAAAACTTTTGAAAAAAGCTACGGCTGCCGCCTCCACCATGTTGCCACTGAATGAAATTGTTGTCATGTCAACTTGCAGAGGCTCACAATGCCTACTCCGCCTCAGAGTTCTTCTGATTATCCACTACTTTGAAACTGCCATTACAGTCATCATGAACCAGAAGATTCTGAGACTTTTTTTTCAGTTTGTTCATGTACTTTCAACTGAAATGGAATATTGTGTAGGGGCGGAGCTTTCTTTTGTGCATCATTCCCTCACAGCAAACTAACGGTGAGAGAGGCGTGGCTACAAATATTGCTATGCAGTTGCAATAGAAGCCCTCAAGATGACATCAACAGACTGACCAGCACACCAAATCCAGAAGCAAATGGTCAGACTTTGAGCAAAGATTACTTACATGGATTAATTTTCCACCTTAAGAATAATGTGAGCTAAAATAAACATTCCCCCAGGACTTTGATGTAAAAGTTACAGTGTGTGAAAGTTCAAATTCTTTTAGCTTGACACCACATCTTAAGTGGTGCAAGTCTAACAGTCAAACATACATCTGTCAAGAGCATGTTTACTTATAAAACCAATGGAAAACATTGGAATGAAAAAACATGTACTGTGTGAATCCACAGTCACCGCCATCACATGGATGAGCAGCAGGACTTTTTTTTGTCCAAGGAGAAAGAGAAAATCACAAGACACTAGATATGTTTCCATTTAAAAATGCGGATGAACTTTATGCTCAAAACTGGATCATTGCATGAAAGACGTGCAAATAAAGCAGAGTTTCCATCCCCCTTCCTGATTAACTGGTGCCAAATATCAACAGTAAAAACTGAATGTGCTGCAGTAGGAAAAGCTGCGTCAATCTTTTCTTACTTGGATAAATGACTTGCACCTCAGAAGGCAATCCTCCTGACACGCAGTGAACACGCGGTGCCGTTTGAAGGTGTGAGAGCACAGACACTTTTGATTTTGGAGGTCATTAATAATATAATGACACTAATACTGAAATGGTTCAGGCGTTTTAGAATGACCAAAACAACATTTCAGATGTTTTACAGTGTGCTCAGCCTGCTGGTTTATTCATTCGCACACATTTTCATCATCACATGATCTCTTATAACAGAATCACATTACGTTTTTTTAATGCGCAAACTGGAATTTGTGCGGTAAAAGTGTTTCCATCAAAGTTTATAGGCATCTTTTCTAATCAGATAAAAAGTTTATCCCATGCAGTTATGCGAATGTTTTTTATGCACATTTTCAAAATGTATGCTCATCATGACGTTTCCATCAACCGTTTTTTTATGCCAATATGCAAAATGTGCATAAAAATAGGTGGATGGAACAAAGTTACTGTCTCAAATTAATTATCGTTTTGCATGATATCACCATCAAATTCAATACATATACTCGGGAGATGTGTGGCTTTTAACCTATTACTTTTCTGTATTGCTCCAGGACTAATTTCATATACAGTATATTAGTGCGGTGCATTTTTTTTTTTACATTACTTAAGCATCGATAACTTTTTCCATTTTGAGCATTATAAACTCTAGATGATGAATAGTAAAACCTAAAATGTCTTCTTTCCAAAGATACATAAACTGTGAATTTACACCAAATTATTCAGCAACTGTTACTGTTTTAGTTTGGGAAGATCATTTTTGAGAATTGATCTCAATTTCATGTTTGTAGGTTTTCAAGGTTTTTACATTAAAGTTTTCCTGTGTTTGTATTTGGAAAAGCAAATATTGAACGCAATACACTTTTTGTATAACTTATGTAAAATATATAATATAATGTATTACTTCTAATATTTTTGAGCTTATTTTGGACCATAATAAAGCAACTTGAAGTGTCAAAGTGTCAAAGTAAAACATCAAAGTGTCTTCTTTCAAATGATGCCTAATTTTTATTTGTAGCTCACTGGGGTTAAGAAAGGTTAGGTAGTTGTAAATCTCCAAATTCTCTTGAATTTTTTTTTTTTTTTGCCATCACTTTTATCAATTGGTGAAGTTTGTTCCTCGCTACTGTTGCCACTGGCTTGCTGGGTTTGGACTTGTGGAGTTGCGCAATGATGAATTTGCTCTTTAGTGTTTGGACTTCCAGCAATGAAAATTAAACCACACTAAACTGAACTAAATTGAACTTCAACTCTGAAATCCAGACTAACAATCCATTTACTAGAACTTGTTAAGCTGCTTTGACACTATCTACATTGTAAAAGCACTATAAAAAATAAGATGAATTGATATAGTAATAGTCCAAAAAAAAAACAAGGACATACAACGGGAACGACATTATTATACTATACTTCACTACTTGTGACAGGGATAGTTTGTTTAGCTTGCATCTTACTGAATGTTTTTCTGTCCTGTGTTCTTATATTTGAATTTTGTGACAGCTTTTATTCTCCTCACCTTGAGAGTGGTGTGCAGAGCGGACTCTGGCGGGTAAACGATGAAGTGACGCAGAGTAAAGCCGAAGCCCTGAGAGTTCTTTTGGAGCACCAGCGTGCGTGGACCCTGCCAGGACACGCCCAGCCCATCTGTCCCGCTCCGGACCACCGGCCGAGGGTTCTCACTGGATGAAGAGAGCCCATCTCTCCGCCCTTTTGCCTGGAAGATACACAGAGACACCTTGAATTAGACATTCACCCCTGATTCATTCAGTCCAAAACAACTACAAAGTGAAAACAGCTAATGCAAATATAAAGCAACAGTTAATGAACATGTCACGTTTAATGTGATAATTGGAGATTATTTTGGTAGATAATTGCAAGAAATAACACCCTGTTGTTCTAAATGGCCGTCCCAACTGTTTTGTAGCTGTCAGTCTACTTACGCCACCTGTGCAAACAAAACTTGTGTACATGAGGAGAAGAAGCTGATGAGGAGGGTGCAGGACAAATCTCTCTGCATTCGAGAACCATGATGTCATTGTGGTTTTGTCAACATTCTTAAAGGTAATTAATTAATTAAATAATAAAATAAAATACAATAAAATAAAACAAACAAATACATTAAATTTAATAAAAAATGAAAAAAAAAATCAACAAAATAAAATAATAAAAATTAAAATAAAATAATACAAATAAAATAAAATGAAAATCCAAAAAATGAAATACAGTTAATTAAATTCGGGAACTATCATGTTATTTTGGCTATGCCAAGATTCTTAAAGGCAATGTAGAAATAAAACAATAAAAAATATTTTTTTTATAAAATTTATATATAAAAAAAATAAATAAATAAAAATAAAAAAATTAACAAAATAAAATAATTTAAAAATTAATAAAATTCGGGGACTATGATGTTATTTCAGTTTATGCCAACATTCTTAAAGGCATTTAAGAAATAAAATTATAAATAAATAAAATTAAAAATTTTAATTAATTTGGTTAAGCATATAGTAAATATTGACCACTTCAAATCACTTAAGAGTCCCCTGAGTACTTGAATAAAACATCTGTTTAGAGTACTTTTATTAGAAAGGTGACATCATCATCTCCCTATTTTTTGCACCAAAAAATTTCCTCTTTCCTTTTCATCCTAAAATCAACAACCTCACCATCCCCTGCGGTTTCACTAAAACATGAAGTATCTGGTTAGGCCAGGAAGTTCCCCAAGCATGGTGCCAGTCGCCATACACTGTATATAAACCGAAGGGGATTTTTGTTGTTGTTGCCAGTTCATTTCATACAAAGCAGACACACAGTTCACCTCCAGTTATTCCTCACATCTCATTGCACTCAGCAGAAGTCCTCCTCTATAATCTAGCGGTCCTGAAGCCGACCGCAGCCTCACCCCCGCTCAGCTTCTCACTCTATTTCTGTCTCACACACTGTTTTCATTTGGCTCTGCTTATGTCTGAGCCTTCTCTCTTTCACTTGCATTCTTACCATTTTGCACGCATGAGCACACATATATAGACAAGTGTTAACACCGACTTTTTCAAAAGTCCTGGATATTGTGTGGAATCAATGATGTAATGAAAGTTTCTTTACCTCATTAGTTCACAGTTAAAAAATGAATTCTACTACAGGCCTGTGGCCAGCCTATTAAAAGGGGTGGCTCTTTTTCTCAAAAAGCAGATCTATTTGCAGTTATTCGAGGTTTAAAAACTGCTTTTAGTGACATTTTAAGCACTAATTTGTGCTAAATTAGCTTGTTTGGATGGTTATCATTACCACACTTTTTGATGCAACAAAATACTACATTTTTGTCAAAGTGTTAATCATACTATTTTTTGTCTACAAATGTGCATTTACACTAAGTTATTACAGTATTACATATAATGTAATGAGATTCGAATTTTAGAAAAGTGCTAATTTTTAAATGCTAATTTATTATCATTTATCATAAAAACAAACAAACAAATCAAATCAAAGTTTATTTCTAGAGCACACTAAATTACAACCTTAAGTCGACCAAGGAGCTGTAGAATGGCAGTAGCAGGTAAAAACAGCAATACACTACAATAGAAACAACAATATAAAACAATAATAGCAACAGTAAAAGTTTCCAAGAAAGAAGCAATTTAGTATAGCCTGAAACCGCCATTGGGGAATGTTAAATGCACTCAAAAAAAGATGAGTTTTAGCATCGATTCAAAAACAGATAGAGTGGGTGCTATTCTGATTTTTAATGGTAACTTGTTAAATAGTTTCAGACTATCGCTTCTGCATTTGAGTTGAGATCAGGGTATTTGCAATAGATGGAAGTTGGAATTTGATCTAAGCGATCGGGTTTGGGCCTTAGTAGTGATCAGAAAGATACGGTGGCATTAGGTTATACAAAGTTTTATAATCAAAGAGTGAAATTTTATACATAGTTTATTCAGAAATGAATGTGTGAATGTGTGATGGTCATATTTGTGGCTACTCAAGAGCAAACGGTTGGCCGCATTTTTCACCATCTGAAGTCTAGAAATAGAAAATGAAGGTAGACCAAAGTATATAGAATTACAATAATCTAATCGTGTGGAAATAAACGCATGAATAATGGTTTCAAAACAACAACCAAAAAATTGGGAATCTGTTAAAACTTGTACTAAATTAAAAACTGTAACCTATGGGCAAGTAACAAAATGGGGTGCGTCTTCTAAAAGATAACATAACTCGCGGTTTGAACTATCATAGTACCATGCATCATTTGGGAAAAGAACAATGTAGGGATGAGTTCCAAAACCGTAGTTTCTGTGTTGCAGATCCGTGGTTTAAACTACGTTAGTTATAATGTAAAACGTCCAAAATGATGCTCTAAACGAGGTGGATTTACCACTTCTTTAGAGAAGAAATCCATAATTTCTTTGTGCAAATTATATTGTTTTACATGCACACACGTAAAAACTTTCCATATTAATTGAAATATATATAAACAACATGAGAGACCTATAAGTTTCCTTTACAAATTGAGAATATTCCATAACAAATTACTTAACTAACACTTATTCTAATCACAAATATAAATCATAGAAATCGTTTATAGATGCAGGCCTAATTTACTGCAGGATATTCATTAAGAAATTTAAAAAAATCCTACTTAATAATAATAATTATTATTATTAAGTAGGAGATTGTTTATTTATTTTTTATTTTTTTGAAAAGTCTACTTTTACAATTTGACACATGCAAATCTCTGCAGGAATGTTCTAACCAGCAGGCCCATGTCATGTACAGTACAGATACTTAATAAATAACCTATTATAAATTAAAAGCATTATCGTATGCTATGTGTTTTGTTTTCACAAACTTTGGAGACATAACATAAATTCCGCTTTTGAATAATAGGTCACCTATAGCTTTAGTCATGAGCCACGGCTGTGTTCAAAATGGCATCAATCTTTTCAAAGTGCACTGTGAAGGGAGCGCAATTGTAAACATAAAGATCGCTCAAACTGAACTGTTAAAATGCTTTGAAGCAAATCACACCTAAGAGAGATGACGTTAATGCTTTTTTAAAACCATTCAATCATTTTAAATGTTAGAATGTTCTTAATGAATAGGGCATAGGGGGGATAACTGGAAATAGAACAGAGTCAGGAACTATGCTTCTAAGTACAGCTTCAGAGGTTTAGTTGCAAGAGTACAAGTTTGCTATGCAATTGCGAATGTTCGTTGGAACGATGGACTTGGAAAATGACAAATCAACAAACTATGTTTGTAATGACACAACTTGCAACCTAGTTGGCTAACCATGTTTTTTGGAAATGCACCCCAGGCCAGCTCAACTACTTATTTAAAATGTACTTTTAAAATGAGTTTGAGAAACAACAAGTGTTTTATGTTTAATCCACTTAAATTTGTAAAAACAATTAAATTAAATCATTTTGTGTTGGGACAAGATGTGTGACAGCATTTTTTTACAGTGTAGCATATTGTGACTATTTTAATGCAATCTAATTCAATGCAGATTCATCTACACCTCTGGTAAGATGAAAGAAGTTGTAATATTAAATGTGAAAATGATCAAGTTATCGACAATAAATAATGGATAATGGATGAATGGCACACCATTTAGACCCCGTTTACTCCTGTTGTGTGCTTGAAATGGGATGAATGGATTGACAAAAATGCATCATAATATTTTTGGTGCCTTGACAGCCTTCAGTTCAGAATTTTTATTACATAGAGAAGAGCAGAAGAACAATCTGCTAAATGTTTAATTTGTAATTTTATGGAAGAAATTCACATATACCAGTATGTAACATTAAATAAGTCAATACATTTTAATAGAAATAAAATGTATATTGAGTGATTTAAAGACAAAGAGTGAAAAAGTGTGAACAAAAAATATAAATCCCACATTAAACATTGCTAATTTTAATATTTGACATATTTTTTTTACAAATAAATAAAAAATAATATTCATTCACTTAAAAGCTCATTTGAACAAATAAATTCTAAAAATATCTCAAGAATTTATGTAGAATTCAATGACCTATCGTTCTGCAGTCAAATTCTTGTGAGTTCATGCGCGCGTGGGCCTGCTCATTGGATTAGTCAGACAAATAAAAGTGAAAGACACAATAAAGCTGTGTAAGTGACAGGATGAATGTACAGGGGCTTGTGTGAATTCCATAACATTTACTGTTAAGCCCTGACGTGTTCAGACAGAGACGCAGAGGCTAGCTTTAGCAAGAGAAAGAGAAGGAGAACTCGGTCTCCAACAGGCTCCGACACGCAGGTTTCGACCACAAGGTTCCTCCCGGCACTGAGAATACCAAAACCTGTTATTACATCCCCCCCCCCCCCCCCCCCAAAAAAAAAAAAAAAACAAACAAACAAACACACACAAGGGTACACACAAACACATGTTGGTCTCCTTATGGTCCAGTAATGTCCATTTATTTACCATTCAACTTTTCACTAACTTTATAATGGATTGGAAAATACGACTCTCCAAGGAAACCAAGCACTAAACAAGCCATCTACTTGACGTCATGATCTCCAAGAACAAGTAGTACAATTAAATCACTAAACTTTTAAAAAGTGACGTTGGCATGTCGAAAAGACGAAAACTGTAAGATGACCAAGGATCCAAAGTATAGCTGCAAAACTAGACATCAAAATACACATAAACTAATGAACAAACGGCAGAAATATACTTGCAAAATT